AAGCCAGGAAGCGTCAGATCTCCGCCACCGCCAGGTTTCGCAAAGTACATCGACTACGGAGCACTGCACAGCAGGCCCGAATCTCTGCTGGCCTGTGGCGCACTGGCGCTCTTCCTGAAGGAGTATTTGGCCATCAGGTTCACGGCCTCGCTCGGCGCGCTCTTCTACGCTGGCGGCGACAGGCCGCCATAGCAGCGACGGGCGCTGCAGCGGGTCGTTGCCTCACTTCTCTCCTCGGCGCCACCTTTGACGGCATGGACCCTGGAGTCTCCCTAAGGATTGAGTTCATCGAGGCCTGGCTTCAGCACTGGATACGCCACCCGAACACGCACGCCAGGATCATCAGAGTCTGGCCAAAGATCAAGACTACCCTGCTCGCCGCTGGCCCCAAGCTGTGGTGCAAGGTCAAGGGCCCCACAGGCGCGGCCATCGCGACCCTGCTAGAAGCCAGTTGGGAGCCGACCTCAGCTACGACGTGGAGGCGCACGAAGGACGGCTACATCGAGGAGTGGAACCTTCCCCCGGCCGACGACCCTGACCTCCTCGACGCCGACATCCACACAGTATTGCAAGACCTCAGCGAAGATCTACACCGTCTCCTCTGGACGCAGGCCGCTACACATACCCATGGAGACACGCTTGCAGGAGGCGCAGACATGGTCACTATCCGCATTGAACAAAGGAGGTTCCTCGCAAACGGCGACTTCAGCGATTGGGCCCTCAACAACACCATCATCAGCGGAGGACAGTGGACCAGAGACCGCCTCCACAACGCGGGCTACCAGATCGACAGGAACTGCGACCGCTGCAGTGCTGGAGTCCCTGAAACCCTGTTTCACCGCATGTGGCAGTGCGAGGCGAACGTTGGGCCCGAGTTTGAGGCCAGCGACAAGCTACTGCCGCGGGCCCTAGCGGGGGCCGATGCCGACCCCGCCTTGTGGCTCCGCGGCCTTCCCTCTTCTGCTCTCACTACGCCCTCGTTCGAGCCATTGACTGGGAGGGACGGGTGGGAGTTTGTTGGTGAGGTGCGGGAGGGTTTGTCGACCTGGGAAGGTGCTCGTAACGCAGAGGGTGAGTTGTTTCTTTTTGGCGACGGGTCTGGCGGAGCCTTCTCCGACGACGTCAGGAGACGTCGCGTCGCGGCTTTGGCCTCGCGGCCCTTCGTTGGAACCCTCCCTCGGCCTCCTGGACCCTCCACTCGGGCCTCCAAGCCCCCCTTCCAGGCCCCCGCCAGACCGTCCCAAGAGGAGAATTATATGCGTCCTGCCTGGAACTAGAGACGTGCCATCAGGATTTCACTTATGTTACCGACCACCTAGCCTTGCAGCGTGGTTGGCAGAATGGTAGATGTCTCAGGCCAGGCAGCCTCAGAGGTAAGAATAAGAATGGTGATCTCTGGCTGAGAATACGGCATCTCGTGCACGATCGACCGCGTGGCGCTTCCTCGGTCACGGTGCTCTGGACCCCATCTCACGCCGATCCCCAGACCCTGCACGGTTTTCAGAAATTTCTAGCTCTCGGTAACCAGCAAGCCGACGAGCTTGCGGGAAATGCGGCCCACAAGTCGGCCACCCTTGCCCTCCCGCCCGTGCCCAGGACTGACGAATATGATGCTATTGCGGCGATTGTCCGACAGCGGGCACGACTAATCCTACGTTCTTTCGGTAAGAATGCAGAGCCACGAGGGTCGTGGCCAGAGAGGCAACCCACTCAAGAGGCTGCCCCTCGCTCTCTGTTGCAGACCGCGATCGCGGATTCTCAGAACAAATTCGTTCGGTGTGTAGATAAATGGCGATGCTCTGCTTGTCACATCATCGTCGATGCTTGCCAGATTATTCCTGCTGCCGCCACGGAGTGTGTACCGCCTTGCCCCCTTCCTGAGTTTGCTGCGTGTGGCGAGGTGCTGTGGTCGAGGGGTCCCCGTGTGATCAGTGGCAAGGCGATACACCCCTCCCACATGTTGGCCACCATCCCCAAGTGGCAAATGTTCTTCTGTGTGAAGTGCGGCCATACGGCCACACACCAGGTCAAATGCTTACAGTTCCCCTGCCCTCTCACCCACCAAGTGGGAGAGCGCAGGGCCCTGGGACCCACTGGCAACGGCCTCGAGAACCTCAGCAGGATCAGACGAGGCCTCCATCCGTCCAGATCGGGTCCCAGCAAGTCTGTTGTAGAGGCCATGCATGAATCGGCAGCCGAAGCCGCGATTGCTTCACTCGCGGCTCCTAGCGGCGCCTCTGAGTAAATTGTGAGGCCAGGGGGGCCTGTCGCGGTGTGCCGTGGGTTGTCGCCCCCCACGGCCCTCCGAGAAATTCTGGATGGCCCCCCTGGCGTCTCTTGGTTCCCCGAACGGACTACGTCCGATTGCTCCACTCCACTCCTCCTCCACCACCTCCTCCTCCTCCTCCTCCTCCTCCTCCTCCTGAAGAGCGCCGGGGCCCGCGATGGTGGAAAGCAGCCTCCACAAGGCACGGCGCCCACCCGGCGCCCACAACGGCGAAGAAACGTATCCAGGGATGACGCAGCGACGATGGACCAATGGAACATGAACAGGGAACAGGGAACATGAAGCATGACGTATCGAGTCTCGAAGCCTGACGATGAACCAAGGGAACATGGACTCCTGCAGCGTTTCCCGCGAGACCAGTACATGGGGAAAAAGCACCAGCATGGCCCGTAGGATCTGTTTGTCGTGCACTTGCGACATGCATCTTGGGAGCCCTTTGGGGGCTCCTGGCGGCGTCTTGGGGGCCTCTGGGGCGCTTCTTGGAGTCTCCTATGGGCTTTTTGGGGCCGAAGGCTCGAAAGGTCCGTTCGGATTCCCTGTCTGGGGTCCTTCTTAGAGCCGTCTTGGGGCTATCTTGGACTGTCTTGGAGGCCTCTTGGGCTGCTTGGGTCCCTCTCGGGCTGTCTTGGGGCCGTCTTGGGAGCCTCTTGGGCCGTCTTTGGGCGATCTCGGGAGCCTCTTCGGCTATCTTGGAGCGTCGGGAAGTCGCAAAGGTGAGAACCACACCAAATCCTCCAACACCCTGGAAAAAAACAATCATGTTTAGCCTCTTGTGGCCCTCTTGAAAAAGCCTCTTGTAGGCCTCTTGGGGCGTCTCTTGGGCCGTCTAAGGACTACCTTGACTGTCTTGGACCGATCTTGTGGCGTCTCGGAGCCCTCATGGACATCTTGGGTGTTTCCTGGGGCCGTCTTGGAGGCCTCCTGGGCCGTCTGGAGGCCCCTTGGAGGCGCCAGGGCGGGGGTATTAAAAAAGGGGGCCCGATGGTTTTGAGGTGGGCGGGGCCCCCAGGCTGGGGGCCTGGCATTCATCCATATGATATATAATGGAACCTGGGGACCCAAGGGGTATCCCAGACCCCGCGAGCGCGGACGAGCGCGACGGGCTGCCCCACAGAGCTCGGGAACCTACAGTCCGAGACAACCGCACAGCGGCGCCGCGGGGCTCCCAGACGCAAGCAACGACAGACCGATGCCGAAGCCCGCCAATGGCACCGATCTGTCCCCAGACCACCGACGCCATGATTTGTTCAGGGCGTCGACCCCCAGAAAGGAGGTCTCGACACATTCCCCAGGGCGGGCTTTTCATCCCGAGTGGTTGTTTGACGGGCCCGACGCCCCATAGGGGCCCCGAGATGCCGAAAATAATTGAAAACCTTCCGTCGCGATCTTTTAACTACGCGACGGGGTCTGAGTGGGTTTAGCGCTGACTTTCAGCGAGCAATCCGCAAGCGTGCAACCGTAAAATTGCTGCATCATGGCGACTCCACGGACCTCTCTCAAAATGCGTTCTCACCAGAATTCCGAGGCGAATCAAACCGTGACGACGAGGACCTCCCAGGAGGCCCAAAAGGGCGAAACCGAGGCGGGGGTAGCGGTATGGGTACCTCTTCTTCCTCTGCGCTGACTTTCACCTGACGGCCCACAAGCGTGCAGCCCCAGATTTGCGGAATCGTGGCGACTTCGTCTGCTGGGGGGGGGGGGCTGGCGGCCCGAGGCCACGCGGTGCACAGGCGCCGAGGGGGCAACCAGCGAGCAGCCCAGGCGCCCCGGCCCCTGCAGCTGACGCACCACTGAGCTAGGGCAACGAAACCGATACATATCCACTGCACCTCGTCAAGGCCCATGCTCAGCACGGGAGCTGTGTGTACATCCTCCTTCCTGGCCAAGCCAGAAGGGCATGGCGTACAGCAGTCGGGGCATTGACCTGAGGAACGATAAATAAGGAACGGGGCCCCTTTTCCCACAAATTTAATAACTCCGATTTCCCTTCGGAAACCAAAGGAAAAGCCAAGGCAAACTGTGAAGCAATCAAGGAAAACGGAGCCCCTCCCCAACGAAAAGGGTTCCTTCTTCAGGGCCCCGACTCTATGCACAGCTCCTGGGTTCAGGATTGGCCTGGCCAGGGAGTAGTGAATATGTACAGATTTCGTCGCCCGATGAGTGTGCCCCTTCGATGCCCCCGCTGCTTCCCGTCCGAACATGCTTGCTAAGCATGTGGTATCGCAAGAATCGTTGACATACCATACGACATCGGTGGTAACAACAACCATCGTAATACTGCTTGGTACGCGTAAACAGTAGTGACGGTATGAGTAGTGGTAAGTAGCAACACTACTAGCACTAGACGTGGCAATCCACAACAAGCAAATACCAACTGCAATGGCTTCACGAGTCGTGTATGTAGCAACGGAAGTACGAGCTAGGAGAGGTAGCAGCGCTCGTAGCACCAATGGTGAGGGCTGTAGTTGCCATAATTGAGGTAAAAAGGGTGACAATATTCGTAGGTGCAAACATCATCATATCAGAGGTAGTGCCGATATCAGGGGTAATAGTAACCGTAGAAGCGGCAATGACAAGAGCAGGGATAGTACGTGGTCGCAATGCCAATGGTAGTAGAAGTCGTACAACTTACGTAGTTCGATCCCAATGGTCCTCTCTCGAACATGCCGTCCCGTCTACAATTCAATGCACACTCGAACTTCCCCCTGCTCTCCACGAAGCCAGGCGGATAGCGTATCACGGCCAGCGGCTCGGGCCCGTCCACCTGAGGCAGCGGAGTCACGTCCTCAATGGAGGCGGGACGGTGCGAAAATAACGAGGTGGGACAAGGGACGGAAATAGGGAGAATGTACCACACATCGTGCGACAAGCCTTATTCGACTATGAGCACATCTGGCACGACGGGAGGGAGCGCGAGAAAGAGAGAGAGAGAACATGAGCACACATACAGAAATACACACATACACATACACACAAGTACAATGATGCTGCAAAAAAGGATGGAGAGGGGGAGAGAGCGGGAGAGGGAGAGAGAGAGAGAGAGAGAGGAGAGGGGGGGGAGAGAGAGAGAGAGAGAGAGAGAGAGAAAGAGAGAGAGAGAGAGACAGGCAGACAGAGAGAGAGGGAGGGAGAGTGAGAGAGAGAAATAGACAGAGAGAGGGGGGAGGGGGGAATGCAGAGAGAGAGAGAGAGGGAACAGACGAAAACTAAGGAAACGGAGTCCGAATAGTACGGGCGCTGAGGCCGAACTTGCTGCCCATCAGTGCACGCAAACTTCATCAAACTCCCCAAGTAATGCTCACACCACCCTTGCTATCTAGCTAATAAATATCCGTCTCCGTGCTTTCACTCAGTGGCCGCCCGTGAAAGCCCCGCGCGCGGGATGGCGCTCCCGAGCTTCGAGGCCACGACCCCGTGAAGACATGGGATGGGTACGCGTTCGCGCACTCGAGACGACCCCACGATGCGTTTCAGACGCGCCAACAGACCTCCAAGACGACCCAAACGAAAAGACATATAATGTTTTGTACAGATACAAGATGTGCTGCGACTGTCTAGTTGATGATTAGACGCACATGTCAAGTTCGGGGTAAATGCATGAGGCGAACATGAATACAGGAAACACTCAAGCACATCAGGTATGGAATGGCACATCAGGTATGTAGTGACACAACTGAAAGAAAGAGAGAGAGAGAGACAACACAACTAGAGAAAGAGTCGACCCCCAGAGGTGTCGATCCATTGGGCCCCCAGAGGAACGCAAAACCACCTCCCGTCGCGATTTTGTCATACTCGAAGAGGTCCGGTGGGGAAACCAACAGGTACCGATCCCTCTACTCCCCGCCCGGACCTCTCCTGGGGTGCGCTCTGACCAGACTTTCGAAGCGAATCCAGCGGTGGCGACGAGGGCCTCCCAGGAGGCCCAGCAAGGGGAAAACTAGAAAAAGGTAGCGTTATTGGTACCCTTTCCTCTCTGAATCTGGGTAATCGGATTACCCAGCCATCGCCCTCCTCCCCCCAACACCACCGACCAACCACAACGGGAGCCGTGTGCCTCACCCTCCCTAGGGGAACACCCCTCACCATCCTGAGCTCTCTTGACGGCCCTGGAGCCCAGCGTGGGCTCCTGAAGGCCGGCTACGGCCAAAAACCTCTATCTAAGTAAGACGAAGCCAGGGAGAGGACAAAGTCGGATAAGGATGAATCGAGAATCTCGGAGACCCAGCAGCTATGGAGGATGCGTCGGGCGCCGCGGCCTTCTCAGAGCGTTCTGGAACGCTCAGAGACGCTTTGGAAGGGATTAATCATTGTCCTAGCCCCACCCGGCCACACTTGAGATCCGGCGTTGCAGAAAAATCCCACCAGCCCTCTGGGCGTAGGTGGTTTAACACATGTTGTCTTCTCCCTGCAAAGAAACCTTCCTTTCCCTGCTCGGGGGAAGGGTTTACTTCTCCCCCTGCCCTCTCCTCTGGGTCTGGACGGGGCGCCCCGCGAGGAGTTAGAGCGCCCAAGATCGCCCAAGATGACTTCAAGAGGGCCTCAGAAAGTGCAAGATGGCCTCCAGGATGACCCAAGGTACTCGAACACGGCTGACGATAGCCTCCGGCCTACCTCCAAGAAGCCTCAAGACGGCCCCGAGATGGTTCTTGAACGGCCCCCGAGCCCTCCAAGTAACGCCCCCAAGTGGCCAAAATGGCTCCCAAACCCAAGGAGCATTGATGAGTGTTGCCTTCTTGCCTTATCGCTTCCGATGGGCCTGGGAGGCACCCAACTGGCCCAGAGATAGCCCAAGGGAGCCACAAGAGGGACCCAAGATGACTCCAAGACGGCCCCAAGTGCGCCCAAGAGCGCTCCAAGAACGGCCCCAGAGGGCCTCGACAACATTTTTGAGCCTCCGAGGGCGCGTTCCCTGCGGTGCCGAAGCCAAAGCAAGCCAAGCCAGCCCAAGATCAAAAGAGAAAGGTAACGGATTCAGGTCTCTGGGGGGGGGGGGCCTGAATCCGTTACCCCTTTCTTTTTGAACCTCGGGGGCCACAGGAGGCCTCCCAGACCATCCCAAAAGGGCCTTCAGACCCCCCAAAAGAGCCCCACGAGTGCCCCTATTGGCTCCGCGAGGAATTCCAAGAGAAACCCAAGATGGCCTCACTAGCCCTCCGAGAAGAAACGTTCAAGGCGGTTGATGCACTGCATGCTTCGACGCTTCCCTGATCAAGGCAACTCGCGTGGCGATCTGTTCCTGGATGGGCTAGTGGGATACTTTTTTGTTCGGCGGCTCGAAGGACAGATCCAGCGAGCGGGACTAACGTTCTGGGGCACAGAGCGAGATAATTGGCTGCAGTGGCAATTAGGCCGCTGTAGCGAGTGCACGGCACAAGACGATGCCAGAATATTACCCAGCAAAACAGGGCTAGTAGGATACGTGAAGCATCAAGAATTGCAACATCGCGAGAAATCACAACGGCAACCATGGACCCAATCATTCTGCGGTACGTTTCGCACATGATCGATCTTGTCAGGGTGTGCAGGCCCGAAGCCTGGCGAAAGCGCCGCCTGGTGTGATTTGTCCACCCAGATCTTAGAAGTCGTCATCTTGCCACGACGCGGGGATGTCAGGGGTTGGGGCTGGCCTGCGAATCTCGGGGGGCGACCTCAAGGGGGGAGTCCAAAAGCGGGGAGGGGGGGGGGGGGGGGGGGGGGGGCAAATCCTGGCCCGAGGCATGACCGCGCACGAGGGAGGGACCAGGGGACGCATTGAGATCAGAAGAGAGGGCAACGGAATGTTGGGAAACATCACGGACCAAATCATGATATCCACGTCCGCCTCGTTAGAAGCCTCCTACATGGTGACCGAGCAGATGGGGTGTCGAAGGATCGCGTCGCATCGCCGATGCATCGCCGACGCATCGGCGATGCATCGACGACGTCGGCCATGCATCGGCAACGTCGGCCTGCAGAAAGTTGGGCTCCACCATCGAGCCGCATCGCTGATGCATCGACAATACGGCGCGATCCTCCGACACGATTCACTCCGACCTCATTTGGGAAGCCGTTTTCGGAGCCTCTTGGAGCTCCCTTGGGCTATATTGGAGGCCTCCTGGGGCTGTCCTGAACACCCTCCCCTCGCCCTCTGATCATTTCAGCCGCCCTCCTCTTCCTCCACCAAGCCTCCCTAAGTCTTCACGCTACCAAAAACATGGGGCGGCCATCATCACCCTAAACACCACCCCTCTAATGGACGCCGAACGCAACGGTCGCGTTGCCTATAGACGTGCCCACCCCGAATGTGTCTATACATATCCGCTGGCCCCCTTGTGGAGCCACCAGGCTGCAGGCCGAAGTGTGCTGCACCCTGCACCAGTTGCAGCTTCAAGTCTCTAGTGTTACAAGCCTGCTTTCTGCTTCCTATTGTAAATGGTTGAAGTTCGCGCGAGGGGGGGAGCCCCAAACCGGCCCGTTACCACGCCCGGATCGCGTTCCACGAATTCCCGGGAGGGCGTGGGACATGTAAAAATACACGATGTTCGCGCCCCCGAAGCCATAATCCATCTGAAATTACGCAATGTTCGCGTCCCCGAGGCCACAACCCCTCGTATATTATCCAATTGCTCTTCCCCCGAAGCAAGAAACCCTTGTTCATTACGCGACGTCCGCGTCCCCGAAGCTTTAAACCCTTGCAGGTTACACCGCACCGCATTGCCAAGGCCAAGAGTGCTCGCCCGAAGATGGTTACAAGACGGCCCAAGAGGGCCCAAAGAGGCCCCAAGAGCGCTCCAAGAGGTCTCCCGAGAGAGCCCCAAGAGGCCCAAATCGTAAATTTCCTTCTCGCTTTTTCGGCACTCCGACGCTCCAAGACGGCCCAAGACGGCCTGTGACGCCCCCCAAAAGGCCCCAAGACGGCTCAAGAGGGCTCCAGGATGGCCCAAGAAGCGCTCAAGACGGCCGCAGAGGGCTCCCCAAAACGGTTGGAAGAGGGGCGCAAGCAGGGGAACACGAACCGAACATTCGATATTTGTGCCCCGAGAAGCCCCCAAGAGGCCCCAAGAGGCGCCCAAGACGTGCCCAAGAGGCCTCCAAGAGGCCCAACAGATACCCCCACGAGGCCCCAAGAGGCCCCAACGAGGCGCCCAAACCGACTCCAAGAGGCACTCGAAAGGCTCCCCACGACACCCAAACACATACAAGAGGCCTCAGGCCCACAACCCAGGCACGGTGGCGAAATGGGCCGAAAGCCACTAGGGTAACGCCAACGTCTCAACATGCGCTGATGATGATTCCTGTCCGCCCCCGTATGAGGTTCCCAAATGCGCAAAGGCAGCGCCGGGACGCACCGACGACACGCTGACCTGTCCCATGACGATAGAGAGGTGGCGAAGCCCTTACGGATAATATATATATATATATATATATTCATCCATCTATACACACACGCAACGACACCCACTGTGTCTACAGACGCTCGTGGCAAGAACGTGAGAACGAGGCGAAGCGAACGCCAGAGTCGTGCGCGTTCCTCCGGGGAGCCCGCCCGTGCACCTCAGGGCATGGCGGGCTCACGCGAGAACCGCCAGTCAGTGTTCCCGGCCGCTGAGAACCACCGCATGTCGTCTGTGCTGTTGTGTTGGTGTTGTCGTGGCAGGGTCGCCGCTGGGATCTCTTCCTGCCTGGTGTCGGCGTCGTCGTGGTGCCCGCCCAGATGAGTGGAGAAACTTCCGGATGTCGTCATCGAATCGTTTGGGTTGCCCTCCATGTTGCCGTCGTCCTTGCGCGTCGAAGGGTGAAGAGCCTGCCGTGTTCGCCCAGCGCCAAGCAATCCTTCGGTGCTCGTGGAGTACATCGAGTGTGTCATGTTTGAGCATCAATGCCTCTGCTCTCCGTGTACGTTTGCGGACGCAAGCGCACCAGCATTCGACGCCCCGGTTCTCTATATCTTGCCTGGTTGCGTGCGTGCGTCGTCGCTGACGTCGTCTTGCGTGTTGGGCTTGTGGGCAAATGGGTTTCTGCAAACGTCGGATCCGCTGGAGTCTTTTGGAGCAGTGCTGCTGGTGTCGGCTTTGTTGTTTTGGCATGTCTCTGGATTGTGTTGTGGTGTCGGTGTTGCTGCCGTGCGTCTCGCTGGTGCTTCGATTATGGTTATGACCATCCATCGCTGTGTTCGGCGTAACTTCTGTTTGAGATGCTCTTTCAGAGTCCACGTCTCTGCGCCGTACGTCATGGTGGAGATGACGGTGCCCCTGTATAGTCGTAGTCGAGGTCGCAGTGGATAGTGCTTGCCTGTGAGTTCTTGTCTGTGGCTGCTGAAGCACTCCCATGCTGCTTGAATCGGGTGCTTTACTTCGGTTTCGGGTGCGTCGTGGAAAGTACTGGTCTGGCCCACGTAGGTGATGGTGCTTGTTCGTGGTAGTATGTCGATGTCCATCCCTGCTGCTTTAGCTGTTCGGTCACGGTGCCGAGGCTGGTTGCTCATGATTTTGGTCTGGGTCGGCTGCAATTCCAGTCCGTGCTGCTTGGCTACGGTGATGAGGTCGGAAATCATTGCTCTTGTATTGGGCAGTGTTTGGCTTGTCAGCAAATGTCGTCTGCGAACCTAAGGTTCGTGAGTGTCGCCGAGCCCGTGTGTCCCAGTTGAACGCCTTGGTGCTTCCTCTGCCAAACTGAGATCAGCGGTGCTAGGACATCAGGTCCAGGCGCGAGAGACTGGCTTTCTAGAGAAGCAGGGAGACATTATCCTTCAGCCCCCCCAATTCAGACGCCCGAAATGGATACGGGTATGATGACCAAGGGCAAACAATGTCCAACACCGACAGCGGCCGCCTTTGGGCAAGCGGCCGTCTGTCGCAGATGGACAACGACCGCGGCGACGCCGACAGCTAATCCTGCCCCACCTGAATAGGAAGTGTGTCGTTCTTTGTGCCCATTTTCCGTACGGGCGCCCTAATCACCACCCCCCTGGGCGGGGTGGGGCCGTCAGACCCCATATAGGCGATCAGAGGGCGATTCGGGATCGATGCACCCCCCCATATGTCTACAGTGCTGACACAGCCGCAAGAAACCCTCGCAACAAACCCTGCCATGAAAACCCGCGCGCGAGATGCACACGGAGGGAAAACCCAGAGCAGCCTGAACGCAGCAGCTTCGCAACGGCCGCGGGAAGTTGCCGCGCAGCGTGCGGGTCGAAGAGACCCAGGGTACCCTGGCGAAAAGCCTCTGGCTTCTTGATGCGCGCCTCCACCGTACCCCCCCTATCGTTGCCCCTGACCCCCCCCCAATCACCACCCCCCTCCTGGACGCCCCCGAGATTGGGGTCCCAAATCTGTGCGGTGTCAGACCTGGCGGCGACCACGACATCCGCACAAAGGCCTCACCGCGGGGTCCGTCACCGCACGGTGCTGGGGCCTCGGAGGCCCCAGTGCCGCCGGAGACATCCTCGGAGAACGACCCGCGCCCCAAAGCCGTGCGCGGCGACCCCGAGGCCCCAGCGACCCGCCTCGCCTCGCCGCCCATGCCCCCCGCACGTGTCGGTCTCGTGCGTGCTTTCCTGGCCCGCGATCCCGAGGCGTTGCCTCCTCCTGGCCTTGCCGTGAGGCCGCTCTCCTTTCGGGTCGGGCGAAAGGGGGGGATAGCAAAGGGGGGGTTTGAGAATCAGCTCCCTTAGCTGATGTTCCTGGCGCCTCCCGGCGCCGGAGGCGACAATGGATCGAGAATGGCCCCTCGGTGAGGCCGCACCAGATGCAGATGCAGAATTTCGTAACACCCCCCTTTCCAATCCCCCCTTTCGCCCGACCCGATCCTTCTGTCCCCCCCCTCTTGATTACTTCAAGCTTCGCGCGGCCCGCTCGGCTTCGACCAGAAGAGGTGCGCCCTCGGCCCGCGGATCGAAGAAGTGTCTTCCTGGCCCGCTGGTCGAGGAGGAGGCCCCTCGAAGGCTCTCGCCGAGCAGAGCATGCGCGCGTCCGAGCGGGGCCAAGCCACACCGAAGGGGCCCCAGGGCACACAACGAAATACACACACACACACATAAAACTATTCCTCATGGTTCCCTATATGTTGGGTTTTTTTTGTCTCTCCCCCCACTTCCCATATTTTTGCGTATTTTCCTGAGGATCGGCGATTCATTGTGTCTGTGTGTTTGTTCTCCCCTCCTGAGAAGAGCCTTCCGTGTTCGCCCAGCGCCAAGGCAATCCTTCGGTGCTCGTGGAGTACACCAGGCATGTCATGTCTGAGCATCCGTGCCTCCGCTCCCCGTGTACGTTGGCGGACGCAGTCGCACCACGACTTCCTGAGGATCGGCGATTCACTGTGTCTGTGTGTGTTTTCCTCCCCTCTGAAGGGGCCCCAGGACACACAAAGAAATACACACACAAAAACCTTCCCCACAGCTTCCCATCTTTTGGGCGTTTTTTGTCCCCCCCCCCCACACTCCCCCTATTTTTGCATACTTCCCTGAGGATCGGCGACTCCTTGTGCCTGTGTGTTCTTCCTCCCCTCCTGCCACCCGCTGTGGCCACCGCACCGCCCGGAGGCCCCCGACCGACGAGGGCCGGGAGCCGGGCGGCGGCGGGCCCCGGCCCGCGTCTCCTGCCACTCGGGCCGCTCCGGGCGCGGCAGGTCCTCCTCAGTGGAGGCCGCGGGAGCGCCGCCGCGGCGGCGGCGGGGCCGCCCACTCCCCGTCCTCGGCCCGCCCCCTTTTCTGCGCCACGAATCGTCGGGCGCTCGCCCCTCCTCCCCCTCCTCCCCTCCCCGCCTCCCCTCCCTCCTCCTCCCGCCGCCTCGTCCTCCTCCTCCTCCGGCTCCTCCTGCCCCTCCTCCTGCCCTACTCCTCCTGCCCACCCACCCCCCCCTCCTTCCCTCCCAGGCCTGCTCCTCCCACTCCCCCCCCCCCTCCGAGGCGGCCGCCTCACGGCAGCTCGCCGGCAGCGGGAAGGGGCCGGCCCCGCCCGCAGCGGAGGGGCAGCCCCAGATCCCAAACCCCATCGGGCCGTGACAAAATCACGGCGGGAGCTTCTTCGCTACAGTCAGAACTGCTAGCAAACATGCTGCGTGTGAAGGGTGCAGGTCCCTTGGACGCAGGCCCCTTGGACGCACAGGTCGAAGCTTCTCGAGCGGGGCTGGCCATCGAAAGCGGGTCAGGATAGACCGAAGAGGAACTCGCCATCGCTCGGACGTCCATTCCCCGTGCACTTGTCGGTTTCGTGCATGCATGCGTTTCGCAAGATGATCTAGGATGCTCCTCGATGGTCCTGGCCGAGAACAACGCACACGTCCGAGCGATGCCAAGCCCTTGGGAAGGCTGCCCCAATCCTTGGGATCGGCCTCGACGGTGCAGCCTCGGCCTCTGGGAGCCCTCACCAGGCCTGCCCCGAGGCCGTCGAGAGAGACGACTCGGGGTGAAGCGCCGTGCCCGAAGCTCTGCTTGGAGTCCCGAAGCGGTGCGGTGACAAACCTGGCGGTGACCTCGACATCCCCCAAGGCCTCACCGCACGGTCCGTCAACGCACGGTTTCGGGACCTCGGATGCCCCAGTCGCCCGAGACGTCCTCGGAGAGGGACTCGAGTCCCAAAACCGTGTGGTGACCCCGAATCCCCACCGACTCACCACACGGTGTGGTCACCACTCCGTTGGGAGGCCACCGACTCTGGGGGTCGACGTTATAAAAAATCGGACCCAGGACAGAAGAACAGCCTCCAAGAACGTGAGACCCTCCGCCGGCCAAAACACACTCAGACCGTCCAAGGGCACCCGCCCAAGGATGCACAACAGCATCCAACAATCACGAAAGACATTAGGGTACCCTCCCCGAACCGGCCTCGATCGTATGCCTCGGTCGGAGTGTATAGGAAGAAGCCACGTCGTCGGGGGTCTAGGGCGGGAGGTCCTCGCACTGCCCCCTTCCTTGGAGAAGGGAAACTTTCCAGTCCATACTGCGACGCGCGGCGCCGGATAATCTTGGCGCCCCTGCGGGAGACGTACAGCATGCACATTCGAGTAAGCAATCCCGCTCTAAGAAATCGAGGAGCACATTGCTCGATGATCTCTGATCTTCCTGAGGCGCCCACAGAGACTTCCCCAAAGGCCACCGAGGAACCAGACATCTCCGTGGGGCACCTCCTGGCATGCTGGTGTCATACCTGCTGTCCCCACTGTAAAGAAACACACCCGCACGAGGACCACCCCTAAGTAAAGCCCTCTAGCGAAAAGAAGGGATCGAGCAGGGCGGGGCTGTTCAGCAAGCGGGCAGGACCGATTCTTACGCGCAACAAGAAATTGAAGTCGGGGTGCATGTGTCTCCCTCTATTAATGGTAGAGTGGGGTGCACGGGGTACCAGGGCCCCGATCGGCGGTGAGCGGGCGACTGGAGGTCCAGACATCCGATGTCGTGCGCGGTCTTGACCCAGAGCCAGCTTGTCGTCCTGAGCATTGTGAGACGGTCCCGGGGCCCGGCGAGGCCCCCTGAAGCCGAGTGCCACCAGCCCCTCCTGGGCGGAGGTGGTTGAGAGAGCCCGTTCTGTTCCACCCCCTTCTTCCCCTTCGGGGAAAGGTTTATCACCGTTTCCTACTAGTACACACCCCCTCCCCCAGGCGACTGGCAGCCAACCAGGAACAATGCGGGCCCCCCCCACATCCCTTGTAAAAAACAATGCGCAACACACTGTGCTTCTAAATTCGGAGCATGCGCAGCCAACCCGATGCGGCCTCCCCCCACCATCCCTGTCAAAAAACAATGCAGAGTACACTTGGCGGCGGCGGCGGCGGCTGCGGCGGCTGCGGCGGCGGCAGTGGCTGCGGCGGCTGCGGCGGTGGCGGCGGCGGCGGCGGGGGCGGCGGCGGGGGCGGCGGCGGCGGCCGGTGGCGGCAGCGGCTGCGGCGGCAGCGGCGGTTTGGCAGCGGGGGGCGGCGGCGGCGGCGGCGGCGGCGGGGCGGAGGCGGCGGCGGCGGCGGCGGCGGCGGATTGGCTCCCAGTAGCTGCCCATCCAAAGACGACTGCTGAATATGCTGAGGCTCGGGCCAGGCTCGGGTGCTACGTGTGTGTTGGGAGCGCGGGTGGGAGTGAGCGTGGCGGCTTGCTGGCGGGCAGTGAGTCTTGACCCCTCCCCCTACCCCCTCCCCCTGGGCCTGGTTGGGGGGGGCCGCGGTTGGTTGGAGCGTCTGTTTGGGCCTAAGATGGCGCCAAGACGGCCCAAGAGAGCTCCAGATTACCTCCAAGATCGCTCAAGATGCCGTCGGTGACTCAAGATAGCTTCTAACAAGCGTACTCGCGGCTCCAAGACCGCCCCAAGATGCCCCCAAGTGGCCACGGAGCCTCCCATGGACGCCCCCGAGAGGCTAAAACCATTTAAACAACCATGGAATCCCATGTTGCTTGCCTTCTCGTCTTTTCGCTTTCAATGGGCTCTTGAGGCTTCAAGATGGCCCGAAGATGGCCCAAGAGAGCCTAGGCCCCAGAGAGGCCTAAGATGGGCCTAAGAGCGCCCCAAGAGCGGCCCAAGAGGGCCCCAAGAGGCGACGTTTCGGGTTCCGACGGGGGGGGGGGGCGTAATTAACGCCGCGCTCCTTTTTGAGCCATGGCCTCCAAGATGGTCTCAAGAGACCTCCCAAACTCCCAAAAGAGCCCCAAGAGGGCCCCAAGACCCCACAAAAGAGCCCCAAGGGTGCCCCAAGTCACCACGAGGACCCCAAAAGGGTCCAGAGACCTGCCACATGTCCCCCAGGAGCGACAAACCCAGAAACGCCTTCATGGTCGTCATGATCGTCGTCGTCGTCGTCGTCTTCGCCGTCGTCATCGTCGTCGCCGTCGTAGTCGTCGGGTGCATCGTCGTTATCCTGGTCATCGCCGTCGTCATCCTCGTCGTCGCTATCCTCATCTGTCCGCACGCCGCCTTCTCTTCCTCGTGCTCCGCCTCGTCTTCCTCCCACTGCCCCCACATGAATGTATAACATGAAGTAGATAGGAGGTGGGCGGAGGAGAAGGAGATATGCGAGAGCAGGAGGAGACACGCCCGAAAGTCACGACCATCGGCGTGCGTCGCAAAATGTGCTGTTTTGGGACGGGCTGGTGGGAAGGGTGAACAATCTTGCAAGAAACCGTTCGTCGTGATTGTTCACGACCTGGGGATGGTAAGGCCCAAGGACGTCCACGGTGGCAGCAACCAAGAACAAAACCGAAACCGACCGAAATCGACACGACGCGAGCAGCCTAGAAGGGCGCAGCGACGCGGCAACGGCACATTACCCGACGGAACCGAACCGACCGAGAACGCAACCGACCGCGACGAAGCATCACGAACCGAACCGCGAACACCCTTGTAGAGGCCTCCCAAATGCGGTCCGAACAGATGGGGTCGGAGGATCGCGCAGCATCTTCGGTGCATCGCCAATGCGTCGGCGATGCATCGGCGAGGCATCGACGGCGTCGGCGATGCGTCGGCGACGTCGGCCTGCAGAAGGTCGGGCTCGACCCTCTGCCCCCGTCTCCTCGGACCCCCACCTGGGAGGCCTGGAGCCTGGCTGGGCCACCCCCCCGTCCTTGCCCCGTCGGGCCTGCCGCCGCCGCTGGGGCATCCGAGGACGGCCGGCCCGCCCAGGCAACGCCGAACCAACCGGACCACGAACACCCTCGGTCAATGCCCTACCCCCGTCGTTGCCTCGTCGGGCCCGCCGCCGCCGCTATGGTTGAGCAGGGGCCGATCCTCGCGGCATTTCTATAGTCCTACCACGAAATGTTCTTAGAACCCCAAAATGTTCTAAGAACAAAAACAATGTTCTTAGAATATAAACCCGAATCGCTAAAACAAGACAGTCCCAGAAATGTTCTAAGAACATTTCCTGGAAACCACGAGAGGTTCTTAGAACATTGTTTGGTAGGGTTATACGCGAGCCAAGACGCTTCGCCACTGCATGATATGGGCTACACGTAAGAATGGCCCTGGGCAAGAGCGACCTCTGGTGCGCGGCTTTGGGGGGGCGCGAGGGGGCCAAACCCACGCGAGTGAGCCGCTCGAGGCCAACGCTTGGGGCACGCCCGTGGGCCCGCACCAAGGCAAAGGGGCCCCAGGACACACAAATAAATACACACAAATAAAATGATTCCCCATATTTTCTGGGTTTTTGTCTTCCCCCCCACTTCCCATATTTTCCCATCTTTTCCTGGGAATCGACGATTAATTGTGTCTGTGGTTTTTTCCCCCTCCTGACAATGGTGGGACGAAGCCAAGACGAGGACCATATCGGGTGAGGACAGATCGACCATCCCTGAGGTCCGGCGGCCCTGGGGGACGCCTCGGGCGCCGCGGACCTCTCGGAAAAGACGAGGAGGAGGAGGAGGAGGAAGAGGAAGAGGAGGAGGATTACAGGAGGAGAGGAGGAGGAGAGGAGGGAGGAGGAGGAGGAGGAGGATTACGGAGGAGGAAGAGGACGAGGAGGAGGCCCCGTCCGACGAGACCCCCCCTACGAAGGGCCGCTCTCGCGCGAGGCCGCTGTCCGAGGGCGCGGCCGGCCCGCCCATGCCCCCGTGGCGCCCGGGCATCGGCCGACGCGCGGGCCCCCGCGGGCCGCCGCGGCGGGCGCGGCCTGCCCGCGGCGGCGTGCCGCGGGGCCGCTCGGGGCAGCGTCGCGGCAGCCGCGCGCGGGGGGCGCCGCTCGACGACGGCGACAACGACGACGACGACGACGACGACGACGACGACGGCGACGACGACGACGACGACGACGACGACGACGACGACTGCCCTCCACCGAAAGGCCGAACCTGCAAGGTGTCGCCGTCGTCGTCGTTGGCGTCGACGTCTTCAGGGCGCCCTGGCCTCCTCGCCCCCTCCGCCCCCTCCTCTGACATCCGCATCTGAGATGAGGAGGAGGAGGCGGAGGAGGAGGAAGAGGAGCGGGCCACCGAAGGGGGCGTGGTCGTGGACTGGACACGTCGCGGCCCTTGTGACCGAGCCCTCCTAGGCTGACTTGGCACGCCTGATTTTGCCTGGGGGGCTGGCAATTAGCTAATCTACGCAACGCCTCCTTCCCACTGTCGGTGCCCACACCACCTGGACAAGGGATCGGGAGCTGGTAGAACTTGCCACCTCCTGTAGATGTGCAACTCCCCAGGCGCGAACACTTCGAGCACCACAGCTGAGCATTCATTACAAGAAGCGAAGGTGTGGGGTGCACGAACTTACCTCCAACATGGAGGGAGGTGTATGCAACACTCGGGACCCTGAGCGGCACATCAGATTCAGGGCTTGTTCTGCATCCAACTTTCAACGGAAGAGCGGGACGGACCTAACTTACAATAAAAACAAAACCAGCGCTTGTTATCCTTGGGATGCTGCTGAATGCAGTGTCCCGTCACTCTCACGAGCTGCTGCCGAAGCGAGGCTATCTTCACTGGCCTCAGGGCAGGGGGTGAGCGCTGGTGTTTAATTCGGGGCAGCGAATTGACCTCGATGGCCATCGCGGTGAGGCGCTCATGGACTCTGGCCAGGAGGGTTTCCTAGGTCTGGAGGGAGGAGCGAGCAGCCTGGATGAGGTTGAGGGCTTTGGCCAGGCCTCTCCGGGCCAAGGCAACGGCTCGCTCGTTACCTACAGAGGCATGCCAGGGCTGGGAAGACATGCGAAGGCTCACTGCATCTAGGTGCGAGTTACATGTCTTGAATTCAACCTGGGCAATCCGTTCGGGCCCCAAGAGGATAGCTTGCTTGATTCGATGCAACCATTGCACATGGGGGACACTAGGGTAGAGCCACAGTTGCTGCCGCCACCCTCTGAAAACTAACGAGTTGCCCGCCCATAGTTTTGGTGCAATAGCCTAGGGCAACCAATGCCGTACAAGGACCCGCTTGTACTCCGTCGATGGTACCGAAGACTCCAGGGTAGATGCCGTTATCGGGCCACTCGTGGAAATTGAAAACGATACCCCGTCCTCCGCGCGCGATGCGAGGGTCGGGAAGTTGGCCGATCCGTCCAGGTAGGCTCTGCGAGCTCTTATGGTTTCCCCTTTGACGGCTGAGAACTGGATAACCGTCGGGACCTGGATGGGCATGTCAACTGCGAAGATCTCCTGGGGCATGTTCCAGTCGGGGGCCTCGGGGACCTCATTGAGCCTGGCGGGGAGAATGCCTCGGCACCAAAACGCATACACGTCTGGATCTTCGCTGACAGACTGCAATGCTCGTTCCTGCAGGTCTCGGGTACGCCAGATCCATGCATGATCGTTATCCTCGTTGTTTTGCTGCAAGCGTGGCAACGGTGGTGGAGGCCCCCCTCAGTCAGCCCACAGCGTGGGCAGAGGGCTGGCCAGTCGTAGCCTGCCTCTGCTGTGTGCTTGGCCGTCAAGCTGCTGCTCGTGATGATGTTATCCAGAGCACCAGCTTCCTTGAAGAGCTGAGGAGGAGGAGGCACTGTTGCGGGGTTGGAGAATGGAGAAGGAAGCTACACGTGCTGGAAGCTGGAGGCCTCCCAGACCAGCATTTCATCGAGCAGCCACCCAGCCACTCAGACCAGGGGCCTGGCTAGTCGACGGAGTTTCGGAAGCAAGCCCATGACACCTGACACTACAGCAACGTTGCCCTAGTACATACAGCTTCAGCTGCCGCCTCTAATATCTCGATCTCCCCCACTAATGTTCGCATTCATTGTTCTCATCTTACTGGTCACCATCTGCGAATCATTATCAACATCACCCCCCGACCAAGTGAACGCATACTATATGGCCCAGTGGGCCTACGTCCCTCTTCCTTCACCTCTCGTGTTGCCGACTCAGTTCCTGGTACGTTCGCCTAGGTCTAAGTTGTCAACAACATCGGCGGATACGTCGGTGTTTCGTTTCTGCCCACTGCCGCTTCAGCTTACCATCCTGACGTTACGGCCCCTGTCGATCTCTACGTGTGCCCAGCGCGAGGAGGAGGAGGAGGACCAGTGTAAACCCAAGAGTCATCAACGATGTTGGAATCAACCCTCCCTCCAAGCTCCATCTTCAGAGGCCCCTACAACGGTTCATTTCCATTTAGGGGACTGCCTCTCTGGAAAGACAACCGTTTGAAGATCCTGAAGCATGCCAAAACATTGTTCTTGGGACTCCAACGACACGGATCAACCTGACTGTTGCGTCTGGACAACCCAGAACCGTGCCAGAAAGCAATTCATGGGAGTTCAACACAGCGAATCAGCATACTGTTGCACCCTCATAATCCTGAATCCTTTCAACACACAATTTCTGGCACGTTGATGATGGGAATCCGCAAGAACTCTTGCACATGTTGTAAATGAATGCGCGCGGCGCTAAGGCGAGAATCACATTTTGAAGAGGAACTGCCCTCAACCCGTGAATCTCCTGCAGTTTTCTGCAACGAATGCGCGCCGCGTTAAGGCGACAACCACATTTTGAAAACGGCCCGCCCTCAATCCGTGAAGCTCTTGCAATGGTTGTAAGCTAATGTACGCCGCGCTAAGGCGAGAACCACATTTTGAAAAGAAGGCACCGTCAAACCAAGAAACTCTTGCAAATGTTCAAAACGAATGTGCGCCGCGCTAGGGCGAGAGACACATTTTGAGAACGGCCCGCCCTCCATCTGTGAAGCTGTTACCAATTTTCAAGCTTCAGAATCATAAATGGCAAGGAAGTCTAAGGCGAAACGCCCGGCCCGCCCTAACACTGGCCTCGGGGTGCGACAGGGACAAGCTATTTAGAAAGAGGAGGAGGAGGAGGAGGAGGAGGAGGAGGAGGAGGAGGAGGACGAGCGGAAGCGAAGCGCAGTAAGGACGGCGAGGACCCAGGAGGCTCGGAGGAGCAGCTAGCAGGGGTCAGCGGCCACCAGCAGCAGCAGCAGCAGCAGCAGCCTCAGGTCGAGCGTGTCCCCCTACAGGTGGATTTTGGGCGAACAACCAAAATACCCAGCAACTGTTCAAAAATATACATGAAAAAAGAACAGAAAAATCGTCCCTGGACGATTTTTCGACTATTCTTGAATATTCCCCCTGTAGAGAGACACGCCCGACTGAACAGCAGCAGCAGCAGCAGCAGCAGCAGCAGCAGCAGCAGACCCGGCAGGCCGAGGCCGGGGGGGGGGCGAGACCAGCCGCAGGTCGATGGCGCAGCCGACGGCGATGAAGAACACGCAGAAGAAGTCCTCGCCGGCCGCGCGGGCGGTCTCGGGTCGGGCGCTGCTGGAACCGAAGGAGCAAAAACCACACAACCATAAACTTTTGGCGCTCCGCGCGGACTTCTTTGATCCGCGCTGGGACCCCCTCCCTGGCGCGCGGATCGAGCCAGGGGTGGCGCCAGAGGCGCCGCCGGTGGGGCCCCGGCGCGGACCCAAGAATTCTGCGCGGAGCGCCAAAAGTTTATGTTTCTGTTGTTTTTCCTTCTTCGATGGAGGTGCCCTTGGCAAAGGTGCGCCCAGGATTCTCGGAGTGGCCCAGACGGCCTCCAGAGCACCCCTCACGAGGCCCACGGGGCCCCAGGGGCTCCAAGGTGGAGCACAAAGCTGGGGGCACCTTGGGCCAGGGGCACTTCCAGCAACACCTGACTGGGCCTCCTCCTCCTCCGCGACTCCCCCCCTCGACGATCCTCGCAACGTGTGTCAGCGCCAGCGTGTGCTTGTCCACTGAAGGCCTTCGTTGCGGCGCCTATGGTGCAGTGAGGGCCCGCACGGGCCGCGCACTGTCGGCGGGGCTGAACTGGGTAAACGCACATTGGGCTAACACACGTCCTGAGGATCATCCACGCTCACCAATGGATCAGACGAAGCCAGGACGAGGACAAAATCGGATGAGGATAAACCGAGAATCTCTGAGGTCCGGCGGTCCTGGAGGATGTCTCGGGCGCCACGGCCTTCTCAGAGCGTTCCAGAACGCTCTGAGAGCGTTCCGGAACGCTCTGGAACAGATTCATCCTCGTCCTAGCCGATCTAGCCGCGTCTGAATTGACTCCCTCCCCCCTGCCCGACGACCTGGCCTCTACCAGTAGGTCGGGCGTGTCCCCTTAAAGGCGGATTTCGGGCGAATACTAAAAACTACTCAAAAAATTACCCTGTGACGTACCCGACCTTTTCTATACATGTGGCGATTATACTCAGGACCACTCAATGCTGACTGGCATTCTGAAGGACCCGCAGTGCGCAAGAAGAGCACCCAGCAGTGATTTCAGAAGAGCGCAGCAAGAAGAGGAACGGCAAATCTACAACATGGAAAACAGGGGCGTTGAAAGAAACGCGCCCAACAAGTGAACACTAAAGGGCGCGGCGGCGAGAGCTAAAACAGACTATCAGTTTAACTCAGCAACGCGCTGCGCTGAGCGGGGCAAATGCGTGTGGTGCATGACGGGGGTGGAGACTCATCCAGAAGTGGAGACAAAAGTGTCTCCCAGGAGCCCACGAAAGTGGCCACAGTTGCGCAGATCGCAAGCCCCCCAGAGGGCGGCGAGGTCCCGAGGTGGTCCGCGTATGACCTACCTCCGCTGGGCCTCCCAAGAGCTCACGAAAGTGCCGACAATTGCGCAGATCGCAAGCCCCCCAGGGAGCGGCGAGGTCCCGAGGTGGTCCGCGTGGGACCCACCGCCGCTGGGCCTCCCAGCCCACGAAAGTGGCGACAGTTGCGCAGATCGCAAGCCCCCCAGAGGGCGGCGAGGTCCCGAGGTGGTCCGCGTATGACCTACCTCCGCTGGGCCTCCCAAGAGCTCACGAAAGTGCCGACAGTTTCGCAGATCGCAAGCCCCCCAGGGAGCGGCGAGGTCCCGAGGTGGTCCGCGTGGGACCCACCGCCGCTGGGCCTCCCAGCCCACGAAAGTGGCGACAGTTGCGCAGATCGCAAGCCCCCCAGAGGGCGGCGAGGTCCCGAGGTGGTCCGCGTATGACCTACCTCCGCTGGGCCTCCCAAGAGCTCACGAAAGTGCCGACAGTTTCGCAGATCGCAAGCCCCCCAGGGAGCGGCGAGGTCCCGAGGTGGTCCGCGTGGGACCCACCGCCGCTGGGCCTCCCAGCCCACGAAAGTGGCGACAGTTTCGCAGATCGCAAGCCCCCCAGAGGGCGGCGAGGTCCCGAGGTGGTCCGCGTATGACCTACCTCCGCTAGGCCTCCCAGGAGCCCACGAAAGTGGCGACAATTGCGCAGATCGCAAACCCCCGAGGGGACGGCGAGGTCCCGAGGTGGTCCGCGTATGACGCACATTCGCTGGGCCTCCCAGGAGCCCACGAAAGTGCCGACAATTGCGCAGATCCAAGCCCCCCAGGGAGCGGCGAGGTCCCGTGGTCCGCGTGGGACCCACCTCCGCTGGGCCTCCCAAGAGCCCACGAAAGTGCCGACAATTGCGCAGATCGCAAGGCGGCGAGGCCCCGATGTGGTCCGCGTATGACCTATCTCCGCTGGGTCTCCCAGGAGCCCACGAAAGTGGCGACGGTTGCGCAGATCGCAGACGGCACGAGAGAAGAGGAGAAGGAAACACAGGAGACAGGAGAGAAGGAGGAGAGGAGGAGAGGAGGAGGCGGGAGAAGGAGGGTGGAGACCACACTGCTCTATATTCTAAACGAGAACCCAACACAGGAGGGTTGGGAAATACTCGAAGATGGACAAGAAATAATAGACAACTCGTGCCCATACTATGTTTTGACTGCTTTTGAATAGTTTCTCCTCCTGTAGAGGGACATGCCCGACGACCCGACCTCTGCCCGAGGGGCGCTCGGCCGCCGGCAGCAGCGTGGCGGGGGGGGCCCTCCTCCCCCTTGCACGCCCGAGGTGGGCACGCCAGCACGGGCACGGTGCCCGACGGGAAGCGCTGCCCAAGAGCCCGCAACGGCCGCTGCTGGGCCTGAGGTCTTTGCTGTTGCCTCAGGTGGCCATGCCCGCGGCGACACCGACAGCGAGGCCTGTGCCACATGAGCAGGAGCTGCCGTCCGTCTTCGTCCCTGGAGGAAAAACGCCATAAACATAAACGTTCGGCGCTCCGCGCGGATTTCCTGGATCTGCGCCGGACCTTCCTCCCTGGCGCGCGGATCGCGCCAGGGGCGGCGCCAGACGCGCCGCCGGGGGGGCCCAGGCGCGGATCCAAGAAATCCGCGCGAAGCGCCAACAGTTTATGCTTATGGCGTTTGTTTTTCTTCGAGTCCCCCCCCTCTCTCTACGCTGCCCATTTCGATCGTGCCGAACCTTGGCCGCGGGCTGCCCGTGCGCTCGGTTGTGGCGGTCCTAGTCGGGCCCGTCCTGAGCCCCGGGGCCGGTGTGCACGCCCTCCCGGCGCTGCCGGGGAGGCATGCACACGGGTCCTGGGCCAGGAGTGAGCCCGGCCAAGGTCTGTGAGGGCGAGAAGCTGGCGCCTCTGGGACCGAAAGGGCAGGGGCAGGGGGCATCATCCATGACCTTCCATCCTTGCTCCTTTGAAGGTCTCTGTGGGCATGGGCCAGCTGGTCCCCTCTAAGAGGCCCCCACGCAGAACATGCCCCCTGGAGTTTGCTCACCCGTATCCCTCCGCCCCACGCTGTGGGAGAAGGGGAAGAGCCCAGGCTAGAGGAGAAGGAATAGGAGGAGGGGGAGGAGGAGGAGAAGGAGGAGGAGGAGGAGGACCTATGTAAACCCAAGGGTCATCAACGATGTTGGAATTAACCCTCCTTCCAAGCTCCCTCTTCATAGGCCCCTACAACGGCTCATCTCCATTGAGGGAACTGCCTCGTTGGAAGACAACCGTTTGAAAATCCTGATGCATTTTCAACACCACGTGTCAACCTGACTGCTGCGTCGTGACGATCCAGAATCGTGCCAGAGCGTCATTTGTGGGACTTCAACACCGCGAATCAACATGGCTGTTGCACCCGCGTAATCCTGAGTCCTTCTCAAACACAATTTCTGGTACGCTGATCATGAAAATCCGTGAAACTCTGGCACATGTGTAAATCGAATGTGCGCGGCGCTAAGGCGAGAAACACATGTTGAAAAGGAACACACCTCAATCCGTGACACTCTTGCAAAAGCTTAAAACGAATGTGCGCGGCGCTAAAGCGGGAGCCACATTTTGAAAACCACCCGCCTTCCGTGTGTGAAACTGTTGCCACTTATTAAGCTTGAGACTCATAAATGGTGAGGAAGTCTAAGTCGAAATGCCCGCCCCGCCCTAAAAACAGGCCTCGGGATGCGCCAGGGAGAAGTTATCTACAAGGAAAAGGAATGCAGGAGGAGGAGGAGGAGGAGGAGGAGGAGGAGGAGGAAGAAGAGGGGGCCGAGGAGAGAGAGACAGTGGACGAGCAGCGGCGGGCACGAGGCGCGCGAGCGAACCGCCGAGAGGCAGGTGGGTTGGGGACGCGCGGGCTCGCAGGCACCCCGAGCCCGGGGAGCCACCTTCAGCACAGGGGGGGCCTGGAGCCGCCCGCTGTGCTGGGAGCGGCTCCCGAGGCGAGGCACCAGCGAGCACAGCGGCACGGGGGCGCCGCGGCCGCGGGCCGATGAAGGAAGGGAGCACGGGGGGGGCCCTGCGCCGGAGGGGCGAGGCACGAGGAGCGCGCGGAGCAGGGGCACCGGGAGGGCGGGGAGGACCAGCCGGAGGGAGGCGCAGGGGCGGGCGAGGCGGAGCGGCGGCAGGAGGCACCTCGCTGCGGGCGTGCTCTGCTGCGCAGGGCGGTGCACATGCCGCGCACCGAGCGGGTGGCGCCCCTCCTCGGGGGCGCGCAGACATGGATTTGCGATCGATGGATTCGGCGCGCGCGGTCGGATCATCCATGGAGCGGCCGGCGCCGCCTCGTTCAGCGGCGGAAATCCGCGATCTCACACGGGAACGCCCATCGCCAATCCACGCCCACTTGATCCACGTTTGCGATCGCCTGACCCTCCGCCCACGGGCGCGCGGGGTGGGGTGTGCGGAGGGGCGCGAGGCGGGCCCCGAGGGCAACGGGTCCAGGTCCCCCGGGGGCAGCCAGGACGGGGGCGTCCACGATGGGGGGGGTCGCAGATCGCAGACCGAGGCAGGCGCGCGCGACCCGAGAGGGGGCCAGGGGACGTGCTGGGATGGGAAGGGGTGCCACGACCATCTGGGACGATGTCGTGGCCCCGGCCTCGATATCCACCATTCGGCGGTGGACAAACCTCCCTTTAGCAAACCTCCCCTTCGTGAAACCGGCCCGGGACCGAAGCCGACGGACCTGGAGCCGCAAAAACGACGGCCGCGACGCCCTCTCGCGAACCGAACACGGCCAATTCGCGAATCGACGCGTCAGGGCGGGAGGCCCATCGACATCCGACATCCCGTGGTGGCTGCCGGATCTCGACCCTGGCCTCTGGCGCCCGACCGGGACGACCTCCGGGCACCCTCGGACCCCTCTCGGCGAGGCGCGGCCTCCGACAAAGGCCTCCCGAGGCCCGAGCGCCGCCGAGGGCCGCCGAGAGAACGCCCCCGCAGCGGGACTGGCCGGGAGTCTCCCGGAGCGCTCTCGGCGGGGCGCAGCCGCGGGAAGGCATCCCGAGGCCGGAGAGCCGCCGAGAGCCGACGAGAGAGCGCCCGCAGCCCTCGAAGCTCGGGCCTTCGAAGCTTCGTCCCGAGCCTCGGAGCCTGGAGCCTCGAAGCTTCGTCCCCTGCAGGGGCAACGCCAGGGGGGGGGGCGGGCATTGGGGGGGTAGCCTCACGCGAGAATCGGCGATACATCGCCGATAGATCGGCGATGGGCCCCGAGAATAAATCCGCACGCTCCTGGGCAGGTTGGGGCGATCGGGCCTCTATCGGCGATCAAGGGGCGATTGGTGGTAGACGCTTCTCCCCCTAACCCCGAAAGATCTTGGATAAACACCCGGGCAATAATGGAAAACGAATGAGTTTTGTCCGCATAGCTATTCCCCCGTGGCGGTCACCGCACAGGCCTCCGGTGGAGCCGCCGCCGCCGACGAGGAAGTCGTCGCCGCCGACGACGAGAAGCAGGGAGGGGAAGGAGGAGGAGGAGGAGGATGAGGAGGAGGAGGGACGAGTTGCTATTCCCCGCCGAGATGTTAGGGGGGGGGATGCTGATTCTGGGGGCCTTCCTGGGCACACTCGCTCCGCTCGCGCGGCCGGAAGCTGTGCCCCGGGGCGGGGCGGGCGGGCGGCGCGTTCTTCCGCGGCGGAGGGGCGGCGCGCTCCCCGCGCCGCGCGCGCGCCGCGCGCGCGCCGCGCGCGCGCGCTGCAGGCCGGCGGCGGGCGGCGGCCGGTGGCGGAGGGCTAAGTCTCGAGCCGGGGATGGGCTACAACATTTCTGTGGCAACGCCTGGGAGCCTCCCACTGGTCGACGCTGAATCGACGCCAATCGACGCTACATCGATGCGAATCGACGCGAACCGGCGTCAAATGGACGCGATCTCATCGACTCCCAGACGCTAATCGACGTTAATCGACGCTAAAAGCGGATAACTACCAGGGTACACAAGGCTCCCATGACTTGCTACAGAAAAAATGATTTACCCCAGAAATGATGCTTCAGTCGAAACTAAAAAAACGTAGAAACGCCCGTACATCCACGGAGCATTATACGTTTAGATTCCCCCTAGATTCGACGGACAATTAATTTCGGGGTAAATCAGTTCTGCAGCCGATCCTTTACTCGAGGTTCACCCATCACACACTGGGCCGCAGATGACTTCCTTTGTAAGTTCACCGTCAGCACGCTGTATACCTCGAGGAGTAAAAAGCTGCATACACTTGAGCGTTCGACGGTCAGCGCGGATCTCTCAGATCCGCGCTGACCCCCCTGGCGGCGCCTCCGGCGCCGCCCCCGGCGCGCTCTACGCGCCAGGGAGGAGTGTCCAGCGCAGATCCAAGAAATCCGCCCAGACCGTCGACAGTTCACATTCCTATCATTTTCCCTTCTTCGACGACAGTAGAAGCTCGACCACAAGAAACCTTCCACCAGAAACCCAACCCTGAGACCCTATGAAGTCTACTGACTTTTGGTATGGGGACGTCACGTTTCCCGTCGTAGAACCAACGAACCCAAGGAAACCAGGGCACCGTGGAGGAAGGCAGGGTGTTTCTTGGCATGGGCTTCCACTGCACCGCGACACATCAAGCGCTCGTGAGTGCCCCTGCTAGTACATCATGGCGCCGCTCTCCGCGAGCGCCTCCTCGTCCCTGGCCTCGGAGAGGGGGTCTCCTCTCCACCCCTCCCCCTCCGCTCCCCGCCTTCCCCTCCGTCCTCCCTCTCCCCCCTTTCTCCCCTGTCGCTGTCGGCGACGTCGACGTCGCCCTCGTCGCCGTCGCCCTCGTCGCCCGCGTCCTCGCCGCCTCCCTGCCCTCGCCCTCGCCCTCGCTCCTCGCTGTCGTCCTCGTCGTCGCTGCGCACCCCTCGTCATCGTTGCCGTCGCCGTGGTCATGGCCTCCATCGTCGCCCTCGTCGCCCTTGTCGTCGTCGCCCCAGCCCTCACCGCCGTCCTTGTCGCCGTCTCCCTCGCCGCCGTCATCGGTGTCGCGCCGATGGCGCCATCGTCCCCGCCGTCCTTTCTTCGGGTACGCTCCGACCAGGATCTGGAACAGTCTGGGGACGAGCCCAGACGCGGCGACGAGGGCTCCCCTGGCGGCCCCCAGCAGTGCAACAGGAGCAGAACAAATCCCTGACCTCCTCCATCCTCTTCCTCCCATGATCCATGGTTCCAGCTGGCGTAACAGGCTGCAAGCTTGATTGTCAGCTGGCGGGAGGAGCCAACATTCCAGAGATGTCGGAGTCCCGACCCCGAGAGACGCAGCACGCTACACCGCAATGGATGGCGGCGTGGTGCAGGTGAGTTCTGCGACGCGATGCTGTTCTGCGAGGTACTACTCGTTTTCACGATTCGTATGGTTGACATAGTGCAGTGTAATACACAACATGCATGGGGAGAGAGGTGCGAGGACATCAGCAAGGAGCTGAAGAAATGGCAACTGGAAACATTGACGGGAACAAAACGACGGGCGGATTGAGAACATCCTGCAGCTAAACAACTTCCGAACCACTGGGCGATTAATTGCGGATGGCGAAGAAGCTGGTGGACAGATAACATCTGTCGGAGCAGTTTCCTCATCGCGAACGGGCTGCCGATACACTACCTTAATCAGATTCACCGCCCACCAGTCGGACTCAGAGGACGGGCAGCTGCAGTACTATTGAAGCTTGGGAACATTGACGTGTTCCCGATTGGCACAATCTACACCCTGCGAAATGCTTTAGAAATCATGGGTTAAGAAATTCATAGTCTCAGAACTTGAATAAACAACCCAGAATGTCTATTCAAATCTTGGGATTTGCACTGAAACATTGAGAATAATCGAGACCCTGGCCGAAAACTTGGGTTTTCTTGAGCATCGCCTAAGGTGTACGCGCTTCTGGGCAAGAAGAACGCAGACGAGCTGGCCAGGCGCATCCCTTCGCGGGTGGAACGTTCTGTGATATAAGCGTGGGCGTATCACAACAACCATTGGTTGCGCAGGCTGGAATTCTGACTTTGGGTTGGCAAGAGGAACGACAGGAACAGTGAAATGTACACGTAGCAATGCAATTGGAGGATGCGAGCCGAAAGTCGAGGACAACACTGGACGTATTACAACAACCATTTGCTGCGCAGGCTGGAACTCTGACTTTGGGTTGGCAAGATGAACGACAGGAACAATGAAGTGTACACGTGGCAGTGCAATTTTGGAGGATGCGAGCCGAAAGTCGAGAACAGCACTGGACGGGAAATTCGGAAGGCCTGCCTCAGCTCACATCTACGTGTTCAGACAACGGTTGTGACCGAACTTGGTGAGACTTTCTCTGGAGAAGAACAGCCAGATCATTTTAGATCACATTATGATTCCCGACGGAGAAGCAGGCGCAATGCTAGATTGCCGAACCGTACCAATAGCAGGGTGCAGACTACGACCCATTCGGCATCGCGAGCAGCGATACCATATACCAGTTGCATTGGTGCTGCAGTGCGACACACATCTACGAGGGCAAAGGTGGCCAATGAGAGTTGAACGTGACCAGTTAATGCAGTGCTTGAGAAAAGGGCACCACGAGAGGAATTGTTCAAGAGGAGTAAGGAGTTACAACAGGAGGTCGACGAGGAATGGACACAAGCAGACATACGGCACACACCTGACGACATGTGGGAGCTATTACGCAACTCAGTGAACACCGCCCTGCAGGAGACCGACCCTCTAGGAAAGACCATACGACCTGAATGACTCGAAGCGGCTAATCAATCTCGCATGCAATTGCTTGATTCACGACGGTCATTCAAAGGAAAGGCTATAGCAGCGACGACGAGGAATGGGAGTGCATCAATCTGAGACTGAAGGAGATCACAGCGACGCTGAAGCAGGAGAGGGACATTCGTGAAACAAGAAGAAAGCAGGAGCTGGTCGAAGCTATTATTCTTGCAGCGGACAGCCGAGACTTCGCCGAGCTACACGCCCTTCGCTGTCAGTACAGCGGTACGGGAAGAGGACCTCGTAAGAGATAGTACTACTCACCACGAACAAACATGGAAGCAAGTGAGTGGGGCGGCGAGCTGAAGAAGAATGGAAAGGACTTGGACTTGCATATTGAGGTGATCGACTACGAGCCGGTGGAACGCGTGTACTGTCTAGGAGCGGAACAGGATGGCGGGGGCGATACGAGGAGAATAGATGCCGAGCTGATGGAAGACGTGAGAGAAGATCGGCGAGCGATTGTCAGATACCTACGAAAGACGTGCAAGAGACGAGCATATCCAGCATGGAGACTACCTTCAGAGATGGCGCTGATGATCGAAAAGACTACCGAAAACATCACTGACCCGAACGAAGCGAGCGACAAAGTAGCAACGACTTAGACAACATGCTGAAAAAGAGGAAGAGGAGGAGGCTCCACAGACAAACAAAGGGAGGGCAAACTTGTTTAAGATGGGATGTACTCCTGGACGAGCATTGGGAACCGAACGTCAGCGGCAACAAGCACAAGTTGTTGAAGCGGACCATTGGATGTTTAAAAAACATTTCAAAGGTGAATTGGGAACTGAGGCATTGAGCTGCAATGCCGAGTTTTTCCAGAGACGATATCAAACGTATTCGATCAAGACCAGGGCGTGCGAGGCGGTCCCGATTGATTGTTTGACAGCATTGTAATTTAGCACGGACATGAGCAATGGTAGGAAGGCAGATTGGGACGACGCTTCATGCACTGCTACTGCGCTTGGTCAATGGAGTTCCACAGCGGTATACACCGAAGAGCACCGGAGATCACGAGACCATACTGGGCGCATGGTGGCTTGGCAAATAATGCAGAGAGGACGCGCTGATCAGCACCATGAGTTGCAGATGGAGGTTGATACCAATGGGCCACAGCCACATCACAACAAGTATTGATTGCACGAATGCGTTTGGATGTACGGCTATTGAGAAGTTGGAGCATATCGCCAGGAGTCATAGCCTGGAGAAGGACAGTCCTTTTGCAGTCGGAGCTATTGAGCATGCTTCGATGATGAACAAAGGCAGCGACGAGGAGGTGAGTTCAATGCAGAAGAGCGGGAGCCAGATGGGCTTTTGTCTCGCACCGAGATTTCCACGACTGCTACAACCCCCTGGTCGAGAGCTGATTACGGACGAGGAGCTCCATTATGGAAGAGGGGGAGGTGGACATCGGATTGGCAACATCCATGGACGACATCACGCGCACCAATCTCTGGCTGGACACACCGAGTGTGAAGGAGGCAGTGGGGAAGATCAATCACGCAACGCAGGAGCTAGAGAAGGAAATAACAGTTGGCGGATACCACTAGAATGCTGGAAAAACTCGTCACCTGGTGAGCCCACGCGGAGTCGGAGCACAGACCACTACGAGGAGGATGCAGCAGAAGAAACACGGGGTGAAGGGCGAGATCCAGAGGCACATGAGAATGCTAGGGCCTCACCTGGCAGCTGATCGATCGATTAATGATGAGGTTCGCAGGCGTGGCGAGGTATTGAGCTGGGAGAAGGAGTTGTTTTGGAAGGCGAAAGAGCTCAAGAAAACGAAACGTCTCATGCTTCAGAGTGCGGTCCAGGAAGTCACTTAATCGGGGTTACCCACTATGATCTTAGAGAAACACAGCAGCGCCTACCTGAACACAAACATGGTGAAGCTGTTGAGGAGTTTGGCGGGGGGCAGCTGCAGTTGGGTCACCCCTGGAGGGAAAACGAAATCAATGCGATCGTTCGAGGGTCTCGAGTACAGGAACATGAACGATATCGGCACGGAGTTGTTTATTCGGAGGCTGAAACAATACCAACGTTGGGGACGTTTTCCAGGAGCAGCCAAACAGGTGCTCGCAGCGGTGTATGGGAACATGCTGATGGAGGAGGTGGAAGGGACTATTCGACTAGACTCATGCAACAGAGTTTACCATAATAGTACGCCAGTTGCTAAGCAAGTCGAGGCTGCTTTGAGATTGCTGGCGACCTTGTGCAAAGATATATGTGAATGAATGGTATGCGGATGATGACACATATTGGCTGCTGTTCGTTGACGGTACAAAGGGAAACCAGAGGTGGCGGTCGACAGGCGTATTCATAATCGGGCCTTGCTCACGTAGGTTGGGGCGTGTGAGGGGAGAGGAGCATATCATCATGGAGGGGGTGTTTGATTACATGGGCAGACCGTTCATCTGCAACGTGGGTGTCCTTAAGAACGAGGAGGGGGTGGAGTGTGGTAAGGCATACGCAACATGTCGAGCACTGGCATCACATCAACAGCAGCCACACACATGTAGATCAATCCTGGGGCTGGTACCAAGAACTAATCAATGCCCATGGTGTCGCACCGGATTCGCGAGCAGCCAGGTAGCAATTTATTACGTCATGGCAACACCAGGAGGAACAACCGAAGGCATGCTACGCTGATTTTGGCAGATGGGAACACGATCTTACCATCCCGAACGATCTGAACTGCTCTCTTTGTAACCACGTTGCTCGAGACCTTGATGGATTTCAAACAAAAACAATTACGCATCATACTGGCCCTGAGGCCATCCGTGTTTCAACGTACGACTGGGCAGAAGCAGACGTGGAGAGCTGTCAAGAAGAGGGGCACGCGCAATTCACGGCGAGCGAGAAGCCAACCAGGGCAAATGGCCCAGAGGGAAAGGAGACGACAAACAGCTCAAGGGAGTGTTGATAGACAACATCACCAGCCTGCAGCGCCTCACCCTCTCCCAAGACGCCAAGGCCGAGAGCTGGCAGCGGCAATATACGATTTCTGGCTGTGCCCGAACAAGGCGGTGTGAAAGCAAGCAAAGAGGCGGTGGCGGACTACCAGAAGACGGTGAAGGATCGTGGCAAGGGCCGCGGCATGGGGCCACCACACCTCCAAGTGGCAATGGCCATGTGCGAGGCGATGAAGGACGCCCTGCAGGGCACGTCATAGGAGGCCTTGATCAGGACGTGGCTGAAGATGGCCAACAGCGAGAAGGGCATGTCGGTAGTCAACGACACGTTCAAGGTATGCAGGCTCAAGGACACGTACAGCGAGGACACGCCGCAGGAGCAGAGGAAGACGACTGTGACGGTCAATTTCAGCAAGTGGGCAGACTTCAGAGCGAACGAAGAGCTGGTGATGGAGGACTCCGAGGCACTGACGGTCGAGCGGCTGCGCATGGCCTTCAACTCAGGGGTGCAGAAGCAGGGGGCGGGGAAAATGATCGGTCAACATTATAGCTGGTGAGGTTGGTAGAGAAGCAGCTGCGAGCGAACATAGACGGCTGAAGGGCCCAGTGAGTGAGAGAGCAGGCGAGCCAGTCAGCAGGATGCTAGCTAGCAGTAGCAAAGCAGAAAGGCATGGGACTCCTGAGCAGGGGGATCTTGGCCATGCGACACCCTCTCGTGGGGAGGCGGGGGTAGCGCCCAGCCCGAGGGTGCGTTGAGGGGGATCAGGGGTCCCAAGCGCCAGCCAGTTCAATACACAATTGTCTCTTCCCCCGCGCCTCCGAGCCTCCCTCCCTCCTCGCCCTCTCACGCGATCCCTGCGAGCACGATAGTTTCGCAACATGCCGCGACGGATCCGAATGTGCTTGCGAATTTAGAAAGAATGCCAGCAGCAGGAAGCGAGAAAGCCCGACGGACGTTGATATATGCTTGTAGGCTTTTGCGTCGTCCTCCACCCCGTGCCTCATAAGGTGTGAAGAGGCGTAGATTTCCGAGGATTTCAGCGGTGGGATCATGCGTATGCATCCCTACCGACGGTCCATTCACACGTGGGAGATCGAGTCACACATGTCGAGCGGGCCAAGCTGCGGTACAGAAGTCATAGCCCCTCGCCCGCTTCCTATTGTCACGCAGGGAGCACTCTATATTGGCATGTTGAGCATAGCACTCGTTGTTCAGGCCTGACACTGAGACACATCGACCCCCCAGTGCTTCATGAAACTACATCCATCCATCCATCCCATGGTTCCTCAGCCATGAGGGCGGCACGCCAGCGGGCCGATCGGGGCACTCAAGAATGCCGCCGTTTGGAGGCACTCGTCCAACCCAACCCCGGGACAGTGCCCCATTCCCCAAAACAGAATCGAAAACAAGAAAAGTAATCGCTGCACGTCTGCCAACATCTGCTAAAGTTGGGTCCAACCAGGATCCACTCAAAAACGGCTCTGAGACCCATTCCTGGCTTCATCCAGGCTGTCGCTGTCCGGCCATGCCCAGTAGAACCTCCAGAAGCGCTGCACAACTTCCTCACTAAGATGCCACTCGTCGTCATCGTCGCTGTCGCCGCTCACGTCGCCCGACGGAAATCTCCTCGAAATCGGTGTCCACCCGCCTCCCCAAGTCCGTCCTGGCCAGCACTCCGCCTCGCACCGATTCCTGCGGTCCCCCAGGGAACGGCTCGGGGGCCCCCAGGGGCGGAGGGTCGAGGCAACACAGTCAGCGCGATGTTTGTGCCTGGTAGCGATTCGCTAGAGGGTTCTAATGTTGGTGTACAGATAAAATTCCCACACGAGGGACGACGACGATGATGATGATGCTGATGACGATGACGATGACGATAATGATGACGATGATGATGATGGTGATGATGATGCTGATGCTGACGCTGATGCTGATGCTGATGCTGATGCTGATGCTGCTGATGATGATGATGGTGATGGTGATGATGATGGTGGTGATGGTGATGGTGATCATGCTGATGATGATGATGATGCTGATGATGACGGTGATGGTAATGATGATGATGATGATGATGATGATGATGATGATGATGATGATGATGATGCTGATGACGATGGTGATGGCTCAACTTAAGCAAGCGTCAACGCAATAGCTGGGCAAAATAACTCAGATGCGCTCGAAATCAATGGATGTTCAATCGGGTTCCGCGTTGGACGGGGAGTCCTGGACCGCCCTGTCTGCCAGCCGTTTCCCCTACGACTCTCTGACGCTTTCTCCAGGAGTCCTGCTCTCGCCCCAGTGTCGGACGGCCACGACCTCTGGTAAAAAAAAACATCAGGGTGCACATGGCCGTGATCTCAATCCTGTCCCCTATGATATGGTTGTTTTTTGTATGGGTTCCGGGTAGCGGTCGTTACCCAAGGGGGGAGAGGCGGTTGGGGCCCCAGGTAACGGTACCGCTTGGGAGGGGTGGGGAGCGGGGGCATGGATGCGCTGCGATCGCCACATGGGGCAAGCACCAGCATGTGGGGGGGGGGTCCAGGCGCCCCCCTTCGCACGATCGTCACCGTTGCCCGAGGGTAAGGATGGGGGTGCTCGGCCTGGGCAACGACTGCTACGCGCCAGAGGAGAAACAACGATCACGACAGCTACGACCAACTCCTCGACGCCACATCTTCACCTCTGCTGCCATTAGGGTGTTTTTGAAGGGGCCCTGGGACACACAAATAAATATACACAAACAAAAGGATTCCCCATATGTTTCCATGTTTTTTCTCGGCTTGTGTCTTCCCCCCCACTTCCCATATATTCCCATATTTCCCTGGGAGTGGACGATTAATTGTGTCTGTGTGTTTTTTCCCCTCCTGAGTTTTGCTGGGATGCGTGTTGTCGTCGTCGTCGTCGTCGTCGTCGTCGTCGTCGTCGTCGTCGTCGTCGTCGTCGTCGTCGTCGGCGCAGCCGCTGCCGCCGGAGCGGCGGCTGGGGGGCGAACCTGCGCCTCGCGGTAGCCTGCGATTTCGTCGTCGGTCAGCAGGCATCCGTCCAGCACAGCGCGCACGCCAGGCTCGTCGAGGCGCTGGCCGATAAAGACGATCTCCTGCTCGACGCGCGAGGGGGATCGACGACCGAGGATCGATGGGCATCGAGGACGAGGGCCGAGGGACAGGAGCAGGAGGAGGACCGAGGAACGGGATGAGGGGGAGGAGGAGGAGGACCGAGAAGGAGGAGTATGAAGAGGAGGACCGAGGAGGAGGACCAACTTCGCCAAATCGCACGGGTCCGGTGGCCCCGCCCATTCCCATCCTTCCCGCGAACCCCCCCATAACATGATAACCAATAACTGCACAGCCTGACATTGGGACTGGAACCCCTGCCCACCTAGCAAACGGAAGGCGTTCGCGCTGCCCCGCCTCCCACGAATTAACGAAATAACAACACTGCAGAGCGTCCTTGCACAGCGCTGCGCGGCCAGATGTCCGACAAGAGCGGCGAAGACGAAGCACGCGCCACGCCGAATCAACACTGCCACTGTTGCGCATAACCTGCGCAACGAGTGGGCGACGACAACATTCCGCCCACTCTCGCGCGTCTCCGCTGCCGCTGCCGTTCTGTACGATTCGAGTTGCGAATCGCGCGCCACGCAAACGCGTGAATGCCATTTCCAGGCGAAGTGCGCACGTAACTTGAGCGAAAACGACAAATCGCGTGCGGCTGCGCCCCCAACTCCAACGACTTGGCGGAACAAAAATGCGACGCGCCGTGGCGGGAACGCCATTTTCAGACGCACTCTGCGCGGCGCCGAAGGTTGACGACGTTTCCGCCGACGCGCGCGCGCGTCGACGAATTGGCGAACGAAACCTGCGCGATGCACTTGGGCAGGAGCTCAGCTCCCAGGAACACTAACGCGATGCCGTCGTCCGCACCAGCCTCGTCGTCGTCGTCGTCGGCCACGACGGCGGGGTCGGCAGCTCGTCCGCTCTCGCGCGGCCCCGCTGCCGCTGCCGTTCTCATAAGACTTGGTGAACAAACTGTGCGCCGCGCCCGCGCTGGACCGCCACTTCCGAGCGAGATGCGCACGGGGCTCGGGCGCGGGCGACGAGTTAGTTGCCCGCTCGCGCAGGCCCCCCAACATTGGCGAGTGGGGGACGTGCGGCGCGCCGAAGCGGGGACGCCACTTTCAGGCGAATTCTGCACGGCGCCAGGGCGAGAGCGACTTTCTCGCCCGCTCGCGCGTCATCGAAGGTGCTGGTAGAGTGCGCGAGGTCGCGCACTCTACCAGCTGCCTGACTCGAGAAATCGAATTCCGAAAACATCGCACGCTAGGAGATGCATGGCAGCAGTCGCGGCAGATGGGAAATGTTCTTCAGCGCCGGGTTCCAAAAGGATATGCCTTCCTTCCACATGAACGCAATTGGCGTCTTGCGCCCGTGATGCCCCTGCTCCAGAAACCCCCGAAAGTACGTGTCCTCAGTTGGGGCCGGGCCACACGTCGGTGGACCAGTGGCCGGAAATCTCTCAGCCTCCTGGCAAACCAGCCCAGAGCCCGCGAAGTGCTGGGGTTTGGGTTTTGCTCGGCGATGGGGAGTTGTCGCAGAGGGGCCTCCTGAAACACATGAGCCCCCCCCACCAGGTGACCTCCTGTTCCCGCCGTTCCCGTCACACCCACGCTGGGCCCCGTCGGAATCCTGCACGACGCGGCGCCCTCGGGCTCCCCCCAAGCCCCCGACCGTCGTCCAGGCGCCGCGCGCCCGGTCGAGAAGACGTTGCGGCCGTGGGAGGTCCTCGCCAGTTGCCTCCTGACAGTCGCCACTTGGGTTTCTGAAATCATCTAGGAAGGCATTGGTGTCCCCGGCGAGATCTCCATGCCCGCCCTAGGGGCTGGAGTAGAGATCCAAAAGGGCGCTTGTAACGGAGCTTACGAAAGCTCTGGGGTCAGAGCGCCGTGGTAAGATGGGTGTCCTCCTGGAGCTTCAGATACACAGGGCAATATTGCGGGACGTCGGTGCTGTAATCGACCCAAACTTTTTGAACCCCCCGTCCGATGCTCTGGCCCACACTGAAGACGTCGATGCAAATCCTGGCGTCAGCGCTCGCATGTGCGCAGTCACCTGCAGACCACTCAACCTGGCCTCCACAGCTCAGCGGGTCCAAAACATACCTGAGGGTATCAGGGTGATTTGGGAAGTCTCGCCCGGCGAAGAATGGGATTCCCGCGTGGACAATGTGGCTGCCCAGCTCCATCCCCAGACGGATAGTTTGTGGTTTCATTCCCATGCTGTCGTTCCAATAGGCCCCACGCCTTAGATCTGTAATTGAAATGCAAGCACCTGCCAGGGGCGATTACGCCTAAGCCGTGGGGGACCCAGAGGTGCATGTGCCTCCGTGCTAAGACCACCACACCTCCACAAAGGTATCCCTTAGAGGACCTGAGGCATGGCGCCCAAAAGCTCTGCCAGCCGCACTTCAAAAGCTGAGCCTTGACTTCGTAAGTCTTGGCGAGAGAAGAGTAATGCTGGCACGGCAGGTTGAAAAGAATTCTGCTTTATTGTGTCATGTGGTACCGTTGACTGTGACAATCTGCAGAATGTCCTGTTTCCTGGCGCTCTGGGGGGAAGGTTCATTCGTGGGTGGGCTCACCAAGCCCTGGTCGCAACTCCCGCGGCCGAGACTGTCCGCGAACCCTCCATTCAAGGGCCCTTGGCGCAGGGTCTGGAGGTCCACCTCCGTCCCCCTTCGCAATATCTTCAGCTCCCGGTGGGTCGACAGTCATTGCTGCAGCCCCGCCACCCGCTCTCGTGGGCGGAGAAACAAGTGCAACTGCTGCCCCCGCGCCGCTGTCCGCGCCTAAGCTTGCGGCCGCCTGTCCAAGGGAGTGAGCGGCAGCCTGCGCTGGCACAGCCAGTGGAGGTTGTTGAGCCGGGCCGGGCGGCGGTGCCTGTCCGATGACAGGAGTTCCCGCGGGAACGACGGCCCCGAATCATGTAGCGAGACCTCACCACCACCCCCTAAGACGGAAGATTTCTGCTGCTAAAGCTGAAGCTGAGGATTACTACCTGGTGCTTGTGCGAGCTGAGAGACAGCGCTGACCAGAGAGCGGTCTGCCGCCGCTGCTGCTCCAGCACTGCCAAGTGCCGCTGGAGGCCCGCCGAAAGATTCTGCTACTGCTGCCTGTGGAACTATTGGGGAGCGAGCTTTTGCCATCCACTGCTGCTGTTGATTTTCAACCTCGCCGATGATGCCTTGCATCCTCGCGATCGCCTCCGCTTCCTTCTGAACTGCCTCCCCACGTCGAAGAAGATCCTTTCCCACGCCGCCCAGGATAGTGCGGATTCGCCGTCGGGGGCCTCTCGCAGATCAGTGGTCGATGTATCGCCGACTACAGGTCGATGTTCCCCCCCACTGAGCGGGTCCCCCCTCTCGTTTCCCCGCACGCCTAGCTTGGAAGGTCAAAAAGAAGCATGAGGATACTACGAAACATGATAATAAGAAGACGAATACGAATAAGAACAATACGAGTAACAATAAAAACAATAATAATTCGAACCTCGAATACGCATATTAACAACACTATCGGCGTAAATCTAAACTTTAGGAGTTCCGCGAGGATCTCTTGGACTGGCGCGGGGCGTCCCCCCATGGCGCGCGGGGCGGAGCCGCAGGCGCCGCCAACGGGGTACAGCGCCGATCCAAGAGATCCGCGCGGACCTCCGACACATCGTACTTATGCGATGTTTGTTCCTTTATTTCTGGGCGGTGATAGGGAGCCACATGCGAACCCTACCCCTGCCCCCACGACTTCTGAAGGGCAGTGGCAGGGTTCGCACGTGGCCCCCTTATCCGACATGGTATTCTCATTTCATGCTTGTGTGTTTCTTTATTTCTCGGCGTTGAGCGTGGGTGCGGCCTGCAGCCAAAGAACCGCCGAAGAAGGAGCCATGTCAGGGGTCCGAGGATGGGGTCTCGGTCTCAGGGGCCGCTCTCCTCAGCTCTGGGCGGAGGGAGCTGCCCGCGGCCCAGGCACGCCGTGGCCAGACTGTAGCCCCTTCGTTTGGGTCGGGCATGTCCTCCTACAGGCGGATTTTGGCCGACACATGAAATGAACTCAAAACAAACCAAAACATTTTCAAAAATAGTCAACCATAGTCAAAACATCGTCCCACGACTATTTTTTCCTAGTTTTGATTATTCCTCCTGTAGAAGGACAAGCCCGACTTAAGCCTTCGATCCTCCTTCCATGCTCCCTGTGGTCGCACGATGGCTGTAGGCCCCGCCCTGGCGGCACCGCAGCACAAGCCAAGTCGGCCCCCTGACCGCAGGGGCCGTCGCAGGGGCCCGCTGGGCCGCCGCCACGTGTGCGCCCGCAGCAGCATGAGGGAGGGAGGAGGCGAAGGAGGGGGAAGAGCGAGCCAGAGGGGGAGGTGGAAGGCTGATGAGGGAAGGGGAGGAAAACTGAGGACGGTGAGGAAGGAGGGAGGACGGACGTGGAGGAGAGGCCACGAGGGAGGGTTCCCCCTCTCCCCTCGCCGTATTCCTTATCAATGTATACTTCTCGGCTTGCTTTACGAGGGACGCCCCTGGCGGAGGCCTCGCCGCTCCTGGCGACGGTCCGCCCACTCGTCGTCCCAGTCCTCGCGTCGCGCGCGCTCGTAGTCGCCCGCGCTGGACTGCCGCCGCAGGGACTCCAAGTGGTCCTGGCTGGGCGGGCTGGCGCCGAGAGGCAACGAGGCGGGGGAGAGGGGAACAAAAACGCGGGATAGCAAAGGGCAGGGCAGAGAATCAGCTTACGTAGCTGGCTTTCCTGGCGGCTCCTGGCGCCAGGAGGCGCCCATGCACAGAGGAACTGGCCCGGCGGCGGAGCCGCACCCAGCCGCATGCAGCAGATTTCGTGCACCCGCCTTGTCCTTATTCGACCCCTTCGTCCAGCCCGAAATGGCAGGAGAGGAGAGAGGAGGGGGCGACGAAGTTGGAGGAGGAGGAGGGCTCCATTTTCAGGTAACCAAGCACTAGCACAAGCAGAAGTTTGCGGTGCTCCGCGCAGATTTCTCGGATCATCGCTGGAACCACCTGGCGGCGTTTCTTGCGCCGCCCCTGGCGGGATCCGCGCGCCAGGGAGAGGGGTCCAGCGCCGATCCAGAAATCCACGCGGACCTTTGTTTGTTCCATTGATCCCACTATCCCTTCTGGGCGCGAGTGGTTTCGAGCGCTTATTCGTCCAGTCCCCTCTGTTCCCCTTCAGGGGAAAGATTATCCCTCCCCCATGCCCCCTTTGGAAAGAGCGTTCTGCGAGGCGCTGGGGCGTCCTAGATTCTAGATGGCCTCGGCGAAGAAACCAAAATCATTCCTGAACGGCGTTTCGCTAGAGAGCTCTACAAGAGGTCAAAAGCCCCTGTCAGCAGAAGCTCCGCATGGGGGGCCGGGGAGAAGCGTCTCACCGGTCCGGCGGCGGTCTGGAATCGACTCGCTATCGTATTCTGGTTCGCCTTGGTCCAGAAGCGAAACTCACTATAACGTGTTGGCTCGATTGGGCCAAGAAATGTAGCTCACTGTGGCGTTCTGGTTCCATTTTAGCCCTCCCAAATCCAAACATGAGACTCATTCTGGTAGTCTGGTTCGATTCGGCCCAAACACAAAAATAGTGGCGGGGTGCACGCTGCCAGGGGCGCTGCCAGAGGCGCTGACGGGGCGGGCTGAAAACACGTGTTTTCACATGTCAAGGCCACCCGGGGGGATACCTAACATGGTGGTCCCGCGCTGAAGCCACGTGTTTGTGCATGTCAGGCCACTAACATGATTGCCCCAAGCTGAGACCACGTGTGTTTAGGGTTCTAACATGGTGGCCCCGAGTTGGAACCAAATGTTTTGCGTGTCCAGGCCACCCAAAGCGGTATCTAACATGGTTGCTCCGGGCTGGAAGTCCGTGTCTTCCCGCACCGAGGCCAACCAGGGACATATCCAGCACGATGGCCCTGGGTTGGAACCACGCGTTTCTCGAATAGCGTTTCGCTAATAGGATATGATAGTGGTCGATGATTCAAAGATTCTTTCAGATCGCAGCTCCAAACATAATGCTCACCATGGCGAATTGACTCACGATCCTCCGTCAATTACGCCACAGATGCGTCCCCGAGGCCACGATCCCTTGCACATTGAACCAGATTCGCGTCCCCGAGGCCATGAAGCCTCGTTGAGTCCGTCGCGGGCGGCAGGTCTGGAGGTGGGTCTGGACGCCACGACGGATGACCATGTGTATATATATATATATATATGTATATACACTCCATCCGTCGATTGAGCCGCCAACTCCATCTTAGTGAAAGGAGTTGGCCGTCAATTCCATGTTAGTGAAAGGGTTTGGCCGTCAACTCCGAGTTGACGAACCCCCTTGGCGGCCTCCTTCTGAATTGACGAACCCCCTTTGACGGCCTCCCTCCAAGGTGACGAACGCCCTCGACGGCCTCCCTCCAAGTTGACGAACCCCCTTGACGAACCCCCCTTGACGGCCTCCCTCTGGGGTGACGAACCCTCGAGACGGCCTCCCTCCGAATTGATGAGCCCCTTTGGCGGCCCCCCTCGCCGCTTCCTCCGTCTTGACGAACAAGGCGTCGGGGCCGAGCTAATGGTTAAAAAGGACCTCGGTCTTAACGAACAAAGTGCAAGGGCCGAGTTGGCGGCTCCTCTCGTCTTGACGACCGAAGTGTCGAGGCTGAACTGACGATTGCTATCGCCATAGAGAACGTAGTTTTGGGGCCGCCTTGGCCGACTTGACGAACGTTGTGGGCGCTTCTCCAGGCATGCGCCGTCTCATCCATTGGGTTGGACTCAAAACCCTCACACATTATACAATTCTCGGGTCCCCGAGGCAACCAACCTTCGTAAATTACACCATCGTCGCGCCCCCGAGGCCATCAACCCTTGCACATTATAGAATGTTTGCGTCCCCGAGGCAACGAACCCTCGCGAATTAAAGAAGATTCGCGTCACAGCCAGAACCCCTTGCAAATCATACAATGTTCGCGTCCCCGAAGCCACAACCCCCTGGAAATTGCTCAGTTGTCGCGTCCCCGAAACGAGAATCCTTTGCAAGTTGCACAATCTACGCGTCCCCGAAGCTACAAACCCTCGCAAATTGCAAAATGCTTGCGCCCCCGAGGCAACAAACCCTCGAAACTTATTCCATGTTCGCGTCCACGTGGCCATGAGCCTTCGCAAATTACGCCGTATTCGTATTGCCGAAACCAAGAGTGCTCCAAGGCTCCCGCAGATGGTTCCGAGACGGCCCAAGAGGGCCCCAAGAGCGCTCCAAGAGGCCTCCCGAGAGCCCCAAGAGGCCAACATCGTCGAGTTTGAAAAACATGTTTTTGAAGGAGCGGAAACTGACCGCGTAACATATGCTGTTGGCCACTGAGCCTCAAATAGCAAGGGTAGCCCAAGAGCTCGTTCCGGCTTCCGGCAGGAAGCCTCGGCAGGATGCCTCGCGACGCCTCCCGAGCGTGTTCCTGGAAAGCCTTTCGAACTGTTTCCCAACACGTGTGCCGTCAAGCGTTCCAGAAGCTCTTTCCAAGAGCCTGCAGAGCTCCTTCGAAGGACCTTGTGAAGGCGGTGTAGGCTTCTTTCGCCGCGCTGTCCAGGTCTGGGACACAACCTTTTGACACGGATCAAACTGAGAACCTGTCAGCAGAGGTCGGCACCGCAACCAGCAGGATATCAGGAAATTCCGTGTGACCCAAGAACTCTGCACGGGCGCTAGGCAAGCAAGCACTGTGAAGGAGCCTCGGCGAGGAAGCCGACGGAACGCCTCGCCTCGAAGCGCCGAGGCTATAGAGTCGGAGGAAGGAGGAGGGAGGGAGGGTGGGGGAGGGGGGAGGCGGGAGAAGGAAGGAGACAGGGAGGGATGACAAGAGAGGGGAAGGGGGGAGGGACCAGGGTTGGACGAAAGGAGAAAGGGATGGTGAATGGGGGGCGGGGTAGCGAATCAGCTCACGCAGGGCTTTTTTTTCCTGGCGCCTCCCGGCGCTGGCGTGTATATCGAGGAAAGCAACCGACGGCGGGACCAGCTGCGTGCAGCAGATTTCGCGCCCTTCCCTTTTCCCCGGTTCCCCCATTTGGTACCACCCAAAAGGAAGGAGCAGGGATGAGGGCTCGTCCTCTGGCATCGCGCCCCACCAGACGCCCTCGTACTGGAGGGCCATGTTCTTGCCAGCGTGGCTCCAGAACATCCTGCCCGGCGCGATCAGGCTCTGCTTTGCGCGCGCCGCGGAGAGGAGTCCCGCCCACTCTCTCTCTCCGCGACGTCGCGGAGGAGAGGAGGGAGGAAAGGCTTTAGGAGGTTCGAGCCGAGCTGGGTCTACAGTCGGCGCACTAATCTATAGTGAGCATTTTGACAAGGCATGTTCGTCGAATGACTGCAATTCGTTCACGCCGAGGTGGAGGCGTGGCTCGCTCTAGCTGCCCACTCATGCGACAACCGTTAAATCCGCCCGACTGGCCGACCAGGCGACCGACCGACCGGACAGCGACCGACGGCGACGACCGACGAATGACAACGACGACGACGACGACCGATCGACCGACCGACCGACCGACCGACGGAGCGAACGACCAAGCGACCCAGCGGCCGAGCGACCAACGACGACGACGACCACGAACGACGACGACGACGATGACGACGACGGACCAACCGACCAACCGACCAACCGAGCGATCGACGACAACGACGACGACCGACCGACCGACTGCCCGACCGAGCGATCGACGCCGACGACGACGTCGACCGACGGCGACGATCGACAGACAACTACGACGGCAATGACGACCGACCGACCGACCAACCGACCGACCGACCGACCGACCAACAACGACCGAACGACGAGGACGACAACCGACGGCGACGACCGACGGATGACGACGGCGACAGACCGACAGACCAACCGCGACGAACGGCGACGATGAAGACAACAACGAACGGACCGCCCGACCGAAGACGACAAACGACGACGACCGACGACAACGACGGATGCCGTCGTCTAGAAAAGCAAATCTGGAAGGCCGACCGCGACCGGCCGAGGTCAAACTCTAGAACGCGCGGGCAAGGTCAAGTTCTAGAAAGGAACGCTTAGAGGACGCGCCCCCTCCTCCCCATCTCCCCCCTCGGAGACGGAGCTTCGGTCTTTAGTCATATATGTATACACATTTAAACTTATCGCTTTTAGTGATATATGTATTTACTAGAACCATCGCGCGCGCTTCGCGCGCGCTCGAGATCTAGCTAGGCTTGACGGGCTAACGCATGGAATATCCTCTTCGCCGCTTCTTGCATTCAGGGACTCTCTTGGAAGCCCTGCGCAAGCCTCGGAATCGCATACAAGGGAAACTGCGGGAACGCAAAATCATTAATTGCCGTTAGGTATTCAACGATTAGGGGCCTTAATTGTGGTCTGTTGTGCAAGAATAGCCAGGGGGGCGAACTTGAACAAAAACTGAATTGTGGGATTTCCCTTGTTTCAAGTTGTAGTGCCTGGGCTGTGGGTTAGACGCTTTCTGGATGCAGGCCACAGTCAGTTGGGATGCCTCTCGGGGTCTTCGTGCAAAAGATAAGCAGGGGGTGAGTTTGACAAACATGAAATCTAAACTTCCACTGTTTCAACTTCCATGTTTCAACTCAAGAGGACACGAAGACGATCCAAGAGAGTGCCAAGACAGCGTCAGACAGTTGAACAACATGTCCGAAGCACTTGATGGGGTTCGAGGATCGGTCTTGGAGCGTCGGAAGCGGGAAAACGTGAGAAGGCGAAAAACGTCGACCAAAAACCACTGCTAATCAACGATTGTGCCTTCGTCGGAGCTCTCTTGGAGCCTGGGGAGCCTGGGAGAGCCTCTTGAAGCCTCCTGGGAGCCTGGAGAGCCGCCCGAAGGCTATCTTGGGTTGCTTGGGAGCGTCGTGGATCGTCCTTTTGGATTATGGCGGCTGCTCGTGGGCGCACGCGGCTCTTCGTGGGAATTTTGGGGCCATCTGGGGGGGGTGGGGACGCGGTGCCGGAAGCGCAATGCAGATGCGATCGAAGTGGAGGACGCCCCGGGAGGGGGCCCGGCCTATTTTTGGTTTTTTTGAGATATATATATATATATATATATATATATATATATGATCCAGCGCTTCTTGGGGCCCTCCTGGGAGTGCTCTTGGAGGCCTCTTGGGACGCCTCGGAGCCTTCTTGGACCGTCTTGGAACCATCTTGGGCCGTCTTGGGCGACTCGGGTCCTTCTTGGGCCGTCTTGGGCGCCGTCTTGGGGCCAACTTGGCCGTCTTCCGCGGCCCTTGGGCCGTCCTGGCGCCCTCTTGGGCTGGCTCAGGGGCCTCTTGGGAACGCCTTGGGCTGTCTTGGGGAAGTCTTGGGAGCCTCTTGGACAATCTTGAAAGCCGCTAAACATGTTGCCCCAGCGAAATTTATTGATTTGGGCCTCTTGGGTCACTCTTGGGAGTGCTCTGGGAGTCCTCCTGGGCCGTATTGGGCAGCTCGGGGCCTTCTTACACCGCCTCGGGGGCCTGTTGGAACCCTCTTGGCTCGTTTTGGCGCCCTGCGAATGCACCCAGCGAATGCACCCAGCGCACGGGGCGCCCACACAGAGGCCACGACAGGCCACCAACCAGACACCAGGCGAAACCCCGGCTGATACAGCCAGCGCACGGGGCGCCCACGAGGCGCCCACGACCAGCCACCAACCAAGCACCAGGCGAAACCCTGACGGACACGTCCACTTCATTCTAGGTAAGACGAGCGAGAACCTCTAATGTGCAAGCCCTGTTTGGGAAAGATGCATTCGCATATGTATGACGTTTAGCGTATGATATGTAGAAGCAGATGGAACAACAAACGTGACACATTCCTCCTCGCCCCTCGTCCCCCCCTGCGGCTAGTTCGTGTCGTGACGGCTTGCGCGCCGGCTTCCTAACACCGCGCGGATCGTTGTATGAGACGCAGCCAGGACGGGGGTAAAATCGGATGAAGATAAATCGAGCATCTCTCAGATCTGACCGCTCTGGAGGATGTCTCGGGCGCCGCGGCCTTCTCGGAGCTTTCCGGAACGCTCTGAGAGCGCTCCGGAACGCTCTGGAATGGCTTTATCCTCGCTCAAGGCCGACCCGATGGAACCCTGAACGATCGCGGCCTCCCAGTAGCGCCACTCGTCCAACGTCGGCCCATGCTGGGCCACCGCTGGCGCTCAACCCTGCATGCCCACGCCAGGGTCGCAGCCACGGCCGTCGCGGCGCGCACCTGCCGCATACGTTGGGCGAAGAGAACTATGCACATGCACCGATCCTGGCAAGGCCCATCCTTGACCCAGGATCGGTGCATATGCCTTCCTGGCCAAGGCAGGAGGGCGTTTGCACCGATCCTGGGCTCAGGATGGGCCTGGCCAGAATCGGTGTATGTGCATAGTTCTCTTTCCTCTAACACGACGGACGACAAGGGCCTGCTCGACGGGTGCGTGTCGATCCCCATCCCCATCCCCATCCCCAGCGGCGTGGCCTGGGCCCCACTGGCCGATTTACCCCCCTAGATGGGGATATAGGTCGTTCTCTTCGGGTTTCTAGGGGTGTATCCCCATCTGGGGTGGTAATTTGGTGGGGGTCTTGAAGGCGTTGAAGATGGGGATGGGGATAGGATAAACGATACCGACGGACGACAAGGGCCTGCTCGACGGGTGCGTGTCGATCCAGCAGTAGCCCTTGGACCGGATCACCCCCGACAGCGGGGAGAGCGCCTGCGGCAGGGGTCCGCTCGGCGGCGTCCCCCCGCGATGGGCCGCGCGTGGCAGCCGGTGAGGAGGGGGGGGAGGGGGAGGGGGAGGGGGAGGAGGAGGAGGAGGAGGAGGAGGAGGAGGAGGAGGAGGAGGAGGAGGAGGAGGAGGAGGAGGAGGACGAGGGGGAAGAGGTGAAAGCAGGGGGCCGCATGCGAACCCTACCCCTGCCCACCACGATTTCTGAGGGGAGGGTGGGGTTCACTTCGTGGGGGGCAGGGGTAGGGTTCGCACGTGGCCCCCTGGAAAGAAAGGGGGGGGGGGGGGCTGTTTGGACTGTTATCTGATGCCCAAGTGATCTTTTGGCTGTAGGCTCGGGGCAATTGTCTTGCAACGCGGGTCCGCGTGCCAACGCCGGCTTGCAGCCAGCCGCACGTCGGTGAGGTCGAGGCGATGATTGCTTGCACAATGTGGCTGGCACCACACAGCTTGCACCACGTAGACTGCACCACATAGCTTACAACCCCCAAATTACACCACCTAGCTTACACCACTAACTCGCGCCTCACAGTCTGCTGCATGATTAGCAATACAAAGACCCCTAACCCTCTAGCAGGGTACCTAAGTTAGGAGGGCCACAAGCTTCAAGGATAGGCGGTCTGTTCTGCAGATGTATCAAACCAAGCCGCCAAGACGTGGACACAAATGAGGCCACGTCTTCACCCTGTCACCAGGGTTACGGGTGCTTTCGTCATCGGTGAACGGCGATAGCTGTGCGATCATGTTCTGCGAGATGGTCGCTGTCATCACGAACCACGGTCTCGCACGTATTCCCGCTCTTCATCGCTGGGTCGGATCGCTCTCCCTGGCCGCGTCTCGCGTCCACGGTAGTCGAAGAGGTATCCATCGATTTCCTCATTGACTTGGGGTCTCTGGCTGCTGACGGAACAAAAAGAAACATCCTCCTCCACGTCCTCCTCTTACCTATGAGGTCCTCCCCTCCTCGTCCTCCTCTTGCCCCTCCCCCCCATACCACGGGGCCGCGGCCAAAAGAAGCCCTCCCAAGACATCAAACCCCAAACATCGGCAGAGCTCGTGTTTCTTTAGCCAGGGGACACCAGCGAAGAGAATCTTAGCATCCTGCCTCTGGCGTGTTCATCGTGTCACCGCTATTGGATGAAAACGAAAATTCAAAGTCAAAGTGCATGGCAGTGCGGTTGCAAATCATATGCTGTACTTGCTCGACTCCCTGCCTTTGAAGGCTGACAAATCTAAGCTCCAAGCATTCCACTGCCGCTGCCTGCGCCGCATCCCAGGCATTCCGCATTATGTTTTCGCGAAACAAGAAGTTCGAGCGTCTTGGAACAACTGACGACTAATCTCTCTCTCAACTCCTACTTGAAAAACAACGGAAAATATACACCCGGGTCGCTTCAAATGCATCTGCATCTTTTGGTACCTCAATGTATCTGTTCGCTAGCCCCAGAGATTCAGTGGAACAGCGGCGGCGCGGCCGGCCCAGGCAGCAGTGGGCTCCCCAAGTGTACGAGACGATTGCAGCACTTATGAGGCTTCCCCCCCTGTCCTCGTCTTCCCCCCCATCACCTTGTCTTTTCCCTCCTATTGCACCTCGCACTCGTGCTGTTCTTCATTTGTTGCTTCACAATCGTGGTGCGCACCGTTGCCTGCTTCACAAAGGGGGGGCACTCCACGTTCTCGCTCTAAGTTGTGCCTTGAAGCGTTGCTAATCGTGCGCTCTTCCGCCCACGCGTCCTCCTGGATGCACGGCTTAGTGGTGGTGGACTCTGACCGACACGTCGGGACTCATGAAATACCGCCTGAAGCGAAACAGCCTAGTCAGAGTGAGGGGGTCGAACGATCATTCACTGTCCCTGGGTGCGTGGCTGAAGCGGGGTTCCATGGTGCGGATTGTCGTTGCGCTGCTGTTGTTGAACCCTCATCCTTGAAATATGAATTCGTTGGTCCCCCGTGGTGTTTTTCAATTAGAATGTCCACCTCGGGGCTCGCACCCTGTTCTTGATCAGGAGAGGTTTTCGAGCTCAAGCTGCTTTGTTGGGCCCGAACTACAACAACAACGGTTCACACTGTATTCCCAAATCGCGCTCTCGCGCGGGTCGTCCTCACACTGTATGCAGGGATCGCGCTCTCGCGGTGACTTCCTTGCAATATATTTAGACGCTGCGCCCTCGACACTCAGGAATCATCCTCTCGCTTCGAGTCGCGCTATCGCTTGAAACTGCGCCAAGATTCATGCAGGACTTAAGCTTCAGCACACGCCTGTCCGCCCTGGCCGCTTGGGTCCGCCTTCCCAGCACGCCCGCTTGGGTCTACCCGCCCGATCAACCCGTCTGCTTCTGTCACGTGTTCGGTGCTCCTAGCCCCGTTCCTGCTAATCTCCTTCGTGATACATCTGTTTCCCTCCTTCATCCCGCTATCCTTTTTCTCCCTTGTTTCAGGGGCTGCGCGAAATACGCGTGGCAAGTACGGAAGATACACCCAGAAAGGGGCACGGTCGATGACGATTAGGGCGGGTACTTCAGGTTTGGAATACACGTGTTGAATGGCACGCCATCAGGTAGGATCGAAAAATCTTAAACGAACCGTTCATTTACCTATGTGTAATAATCCCCCCCAGCCAAGTGACCAGTGTGTTCTTCAATCAAAGAGAACATCCCGTGGTTCGCACATCGCTCCCTGCAACGTAACATGTAAAGTCTCCACACTGCGCCGTTGGACCCCGCACGATAGCAACAACGGTTTTTGCCTGATACCTCTTCGCCGCTCATCCCGAAACCGTGCTATAGTGCAGGACCCCCCCCCACATCTCATGCACGAATCGCGCCCTCGCGCGGGACACCCTTGCAATCTATTCAAACGCCGCGCCCTCGACCCTCGACGCTGAGGAACATCGCCTTTCTTCTGGTCATCTTTGCGATTCGCGTGGGAACCGCGCTGTCGTCCGGCACCCCCTCGCGATTCACGCGGCACCCACGTTCTAGCAGCCCGCCTGCTCGACCCGGCCGCTCGGGCCCGCCTGCGCGACCCGCCCGCCAGGGTCCGCCCGCCCGATCAGCCCGTCTTGATGGGCCTGTTTTCCACCACCACCACCATAAGTTGGAGGGTGAGGAGGAGGAGGAGGAGGAGGAGGAGGAGGAGGAGGAGGAGACCCCCTCCCCCTCCAACTTATGGTGGTGGTGGTGGAAAACAGGCCCATGACGTCTGGTTCTGCCACGTGCTTTCTGCTCCCAACCACCCTCCTGCTAATCCGGGCGCCCTGTTTATCCCTCCCCCTCCAATCCGTCCTCGGCTCCCCTGTTGTACACCTTTGGCGATGCTTAAGAAAACCCAAGTTTTCGGCCAGAGTCTCGATTATTCTTAATGTTTCAACGTAAATCCTAAGATTTTAATAGAGATGTTGGGTTTTTATTCAAGTTCTGAGACTATGAATTTCTTAACCCATGATTTCTTAAGCATTTCGCAGGGTGTACGGGTTGCACCAATTACGTGCGGCAGGTAAAGAAGACAGCACCCAGACGGGGGCACGATCGAAGGCGAAAAAGGCGGGCATCGAGGGTCCGGGATACCTGTTGAATGGCACGCGAACAGGTAAAGACAAGCAGCCTTAAAATGATTACTGTCGTTGTTAGTGTTGTTGCTTAGCCTCCATGCATGACACATGATATGCTATGATATTTTTTTGGCGCACATGTTTTTTTTTTCAATTGAATAAACCCCTTCGGGGATCGCACCCTCTGCTCCCATCGAGGGAAATATTCCTTCTCAAACTGGGTCGTTGGGCCACGTAATACAACAACAACTGCATCCGCCTGAAATGTCTCATGATGTATTCCTGAATCGCGCTCTCGCGAAGGTTTGCCTGATACGTTATGCAGGAACCGCGCTCTCGCGTGGGACGCCCTCGCAATTGGTTCAGACGCCGCGCCCTCGACACTCAGGAATCACGCTCTCGCTTTCGCTTTTCCCACGATTTACGTGGGAGCCGCGGTATCGTTCGAGGCTTCCTCGTGATTCGTGCAGGACTCATGTTTCAGCAGCCCGCCTGCTCGACCTGGCCGCCTGGGCCCGCCTTCCCGGCCCGCCCGCTGGGGCCCGCCCGCCCGATGAGCCGGTCTGCTTCTGCCGCGCGATTTCTGCTCCCAGCTCCCTGCCTGCTCATCTCCCTCGTGTTCCATCCGTCTCTCCCCCTCCTCCTCCTCCTCCTCCTCCTCCTCCTCCTCCTCCTCCTCCTCCCCCTCCTCCTCCTCCTCCTCCTCCTCCTCCTCCTCCTCCTCCTCCTCCTCCTCCCCCTTCCCCCGTCCTCTTTTCCCCTGTCTTAGGGACTGCGCTAAGTGGGCATGATCGGCAAGGAAGATCTACACAGAATGGGGGCACGGTGGAAGACGAAGAGGGCGGGTATCGAGGGTTTGGGGCATGCGTGTTGAGTGGCAGGCGAACGCTCTTACAATGATTGCTGTTGTTGGTGGTGGTGTTGTCGTTGGTGTTGCTGCTGGTGCTGCCTGTTCTTGAACTTTCGTTTTTGAGAATCAGAAATTGTTGATCCCTGCTTCGGGGCTCGCAACCGTTGTTTCTATCAGGGGTAATCTTCCTGCTCAAGCTGGGCTGTTGGGACCCGGACTACAACAACAACTGCTCCCAACGGATACTCCATCACAATGTTTTCTCACAATGCGCTCTCGCGCAGGACTTCCTCACAATGTATGCAAGAATCACACTCTCGCATGGGATTCCGACGCAATGGATTCAATCGCTGCGTCCTCGACGCTCATAAATATCGTTCTCGCTTTCGCCTTTCTCGCGATTTACTTGTGAATCGCGCTATCGCTCAAGGCTTCCTTGCGATGCATGTAGAACTCACGCTTCAGCAGCCCGCCTGCTCGACCTGGCTGCCTGGGTTTGCCTTCCTGACCCGCCCGCTAAGGTCTAACGAATACGAACTGTTGATCGCCCCCCTCTGGTGATCATGGCACTTGTTTTGCGAAAAT